TCTGTGTAAGATTTCACTTCAAAATTGTTAAATATATATTCCCCTGTCTTGATCCTATGAAGTTGATTATAAATAGAGTCATCATCCATGTTTAGATTTTGATTGATTCTTTTTCTTTTACTTTTTCGATTTTCGTTTGTATTGATGGCGGCCATCTTGGATTTGACCTATTTTGGGTGTTTCCCCAAGTAAAATTTTGGTAAACTATTTTTTTGTTAAAGTAGACCTATCAAGGCAGTGAAATGTGTTAAAAAACCTTTTCCGTCAATTTTGTTGAACCTTCATGAAAAATAAACCTTTAATTACCGGACTATTACACCCAGATGATGTAGAGATGTGTTGCCCAAAGTGTAATATAACTCGTATGAAATAATAAGAAATCAAATATTAAAATTCAAAATCAAGGAGTTCTGATCTCGCACCTTTAATAAAACCCGTAGGTGAGGACACACGTCACTCATTATCTCCTCCAACAGAAAGTTTTTTATGAACAAACAGCGTCCCGCCAGCCTGATGAGAAACCTGATAACACACGCACCCATCCGAGATAGCCTTATCGGATCAGCTCTCAATGCATGGCTGTCGCATGATGCAACAGTAGGAAGATCCGCATTTCTCTGCCTCTGTTGTAGTCGTGTAGCTGTGTTAGGATAGCCTATTGGTTAAAGCTTTCGCTCGTCACGCCGAACCGGTTCGAATCGCCACATGGGTACAATGTGTGAAGCCCATTTCTGGTGTTCCCTGCCGTGATATTGCCGGAATATTGCTAAATGCAGCGTAAAACCTTACTCACTCAATCACTTTTGTATTGTCTGTCTGCTCTGTTGTATTGTGTCTGCCTGTTGTATTGTCTGTCTGATTTATTGTATTGTATTGTATGTCTGCCTGCCTGCCTCTGTTGTATTGACTGTGTGCCTGTTGTATTGTCTGTCTCTAATGTATTGTCTGTCTGATCTATTGTATTGTCTGTCTGCCTGTTGTATTGTCTGTCTGATCTGTTGTATTGTCTGTCTGCCTGTTGTATTTTCTGTCTGATCTGTTGTATTGACTGTCTGCTTGCCTCTGTTGTATTGACTGTCTGCCTGTTGTATTGCCTGTCTCTAATGTATTGTCTGTCTCTAATGTATTGTCTGTCTGATCTGTTGTATTGTCTGTCTGATCTGTTGTATTGTATGTCTGCCTGTTGTATTGTCTGTCTGATCTGTTGTAATGACTGTCTGCTTGCCTCTGTTGTATTGACTGTCTGCCTGTTGTATTGTCTGTCTCTAATGTAATGTCTGTCTGATCTGTTGTATTGTATGTCTGCCTGTTGTATTGACTGTCTGCTTGCCTCTGTTGTATTGACTGTCTGCCTGTTGTATTGTCTGTCTCTAATGTATTGTCTGTCTGATGTGTTGTATTGACTGTCTGCCTGCCTCTGTTGTATTGTCTGTCTCTGTTGTATTGTCTGTCTGCCTGTTGTATTGTCTGTCTGATCTGTTGTATTGCCCGTCTGCCTGTTGTATTGTCTGTCTCTAATGTATTGTCTGTCTAATCTATTGTATTGTCTGTCTGCCTGTTGTGTTGTCTGTCTGATCTGTTATATTGTATGTCTGCCTCAGACACATGTCTCAGTCTGTGTGCCCAGTGTCTACCTTCCTGCCTGTCTCTCAACAAGTATATCTACCAGACTCTCTGCACATCTATTTCAGTCTGTGTGCCAGTGTCTACCCCCTGGCCCGTCTCTCAACACGTATATCTACCAGACTCTCTCTGCACATCTATCTCAGTCTGTGTGCCAGTGTCTACCCCCTGCCTGTCTCTCAACAAGTATATCTACCAGACTCTCTGCACATCTGTCTCAGTCTGTGTGCAAGTGTCTACCCTCCTGCCTGTCTCTCAACAAGTATATCTACCAGACTCTCTGCACATCTGTCTCAGTCTGTGTGCCAGTGTCTACCCCATGCCTGTCTCTCAACAAGTATATCTACCAGACTCTCTGCACATCTGTCTCAGTCTGTGTGCCAGTGTCTACCCCATGCCTGTCTCTCAACACGTATATCTACCAGACTCTCTCTGCACATCTGTCTCAGTCTGTGTGCCAGTGTCTACCCCATGCCTGTCTCTCAACAAGTATATCTACCAGACTCTCTCTGCACATCTGTCTCAGTCTGTGTGCCAGTGTCTACCCTCCTGCCTGTCTCTCAACAAGTATATCTACCAGACTCTCTCTGCACATCTGTCTCAGTCTGTTCGCCAGTGTCTACCCCCTGCCTGTCTCCCAACACGTATCTACCAGACTTTCTGCACATCTATCTCAGTCTGTGTGCCCAGTGTCTACCCCATGCCTGTCTCTCAACAAGTATATCTACCAGACTCTCTCTGCACATCTGTCTCAGTCTGTGTGCCAGTGTCCACCCCATGCCTGCCCCTCAACACGTATCTACCAGACTCTCTGCACATCTATCTCAGTCTGTGTGCCCAGTGTCTACCCTCCTGCCTGTCTCTCAACACGTATCTACCAGACTCTCTCTGCACATCTGTCTCAGTCTGTGTGCCAGTGTCTACCCCCTGACCGGTCTCTCAGCAAGTATATCTACCAGACTCTCTCTGCACATCTATCTCAGTCTGTGTGCCCAGTGTCTACCCTCCTGCCTGTCTCTCAACACGTATCTACCAGACTCTCTCTGCACATCTATCTCAGTCTGTGTGCCAGTGTCTACCCCCTGACTGGTCTCTCAGCAAGTATATCTACCAGACTCTCTCTGCACATCTATCTCAGTCTGTGTGCCCAGTGTCTACCCTCCTGTCTGTCTCTCAACAAGTATATCTACCAGACTCTCTGCACATCTGTCTCAGTCTGTGTGCCAGTGTCTACCCCCTGCCTGTCTCTCAACAAGTATATCTACCAGACTCTCTCTGCACATCTATCTCAGTCTGTGTGCCAGTGTCTACCCCCTGCCTGTCTCTCAACAAGTATATCTACCAGACTCTCTGCACATCTATCTCAGTCTGTGTGCCCAGTGTCTACCCCATGCCTGTCTCTCAACAAGTATATCTACCAGACTCTCTGCACATCTATCTCAGTCTGTGTGCCCAGTGTCTACCCCATGCCTGTCTCTCAACAAGTATATCTACCAGACTCTCTCTGCACATCTGTCTCAGTCTGTGTGCCAGTGTCCACCCCATGCCTGCCCCTCAACACGTATCTACCAGACTCTCTGCACATCTATCTCAGTCTGTGTGCCCAGTGTCTACCCCATGCCTGTCTCTCAACACGTATATCTACCAGACTCTCTGCACATCTGTCTCAGTCTGTGTGCCCAGTGTCTATGTGATGGGTACTGTTCCAGCAAACACAAAAACATAACCAAGGTGAGCTGGGATTAGAACCCACGATCACAGGTTCCTGGCATGCTCAAGGGATGCAACTCTGCACAGCAAATATTCGTAATAAGTCTCTAGATGGAAAGCTAGGACCTGTTACTTAATTAAAAAGACAAACACCACACAACGTTTGTTGTCCTTCATGATTTAATGTTACAAATTGTAAAACACAGGAGAAAGAATCTAAATTCAACATTTGATAAATATCACAGACAAATACCTTCATACAATATTAAATACAGATAAAACTTTTGACATTTGGTAACAGCAGAATGGTATTCAGCAAAATATTCAGTTTAAAATACTGGTTTGCATATAGATGGTATAGTCATATCAAAACAATGAAAACAAATGTTTGGACGGAAATTCAAACTTCACAACTTCAAGGCAAATATTTGACCTGATCTTGTGTACCTTGGCAAGCTTTGATGATAAAAATATTCAGCAGTATTACATGTTATGGAGTGGATGGTTAAACGGCGCTTGAAACACAATGTCTGCGATCTACATGCAGGCTCAGTATGGGCGAAATCCCAAAGTGATGCAGATCAAAGACGTTTACCATTTTGGTCAAACCCACATGCCTCTGTATGGTCATTATCACACACAATGTGGAATTCAGCCACATGATCATGGGATCCTGCTGTGCCTAAGGGACACAACTCACAGTGAATTGTCATAGAGACAGACTTGACACAGTGTCTGGCCTGTGTACATGAAGTCCTAGGGAAACGGCACACAACCATTTAAGACAGAACCATCATCTACAAGTGGTTCACGCCATGTCTTCATACACACAAAATGCACAATAAATAAAAAAATTATCAAATCAAAATATTTCAAATAACTACAGGCCTTCAAGAGTACACAACTGTTACATGCAAAAACCGGTCATACATACACTGGTGTTGCATACAATCATCACTTTCATCACACAGCCGTGAAGATAACACTCAGGGCAATATCAGGAGTTGGGTTTAATGCTGCTTTAAACAGTACCCCAGTCATGTCACGGCGCGTCATCTTGATGTGGGAGGAAAGCTCCTGTGACGCAGGTCTCACACTTTTACCACTTTGGTGAAATCACAAACACGAGTATGGTGCTGACAAACCAAGACACAATCAACGTGATATGGGATTGGAACCCAGTATTACCGATTCCAGGCAGGTAGAAAGAATGCAGATCGGCACTGTGAGGGTCACCATGGACAACTGGGCCACCTTCCTATTTATTAAAATATGAATTATGAGGAACAAGATGTTTATTTTATGCGGCCCTACAGAGAGAGGTTTGGAAAATGTGAAAGTTAAAAATTTGCTTTTTATCATTTTTATAAACTGCTGGCACAGTGAGTGAAAAAAGTTGCATTAATTCCAATTTAAAAAATATGAATATATGAATTGTTGATTCAGTGCACTCTGTTCAGAGCTTCCATTACCACACGTTTCACAGATAACATGAAATTGCCTTTTTATCCCACACAGGATATTGTTAATTCAGCAGATGTGTCTAATGTTACAGACTCCTACTAAATACTTACATGCATGCCACAACAACAGCATACCATAGCCAGATAACTGCATATATTCATAAATATACAGAAAAATATATAACGATGAGTAAGTGCTGGAGATTTTCCATGGTTTCTACTTTGGTGTGGTGTTGGCAAACCTCACAGAGAGGAAATCTGGGATTCGAACCCTCAAACATTTGCACACGTCTTTTTTGTTGAAATCACGAAAGGTTTTATAGACAGCAGTCGAAATACCAATTACAACTGCAATTTAATAATACTATTTATCGTTACCAATATATAGCAAACCTAATTTTAATATTTATCTGTTTGTAGGCATATGGTTCGGATGACTTCATTGAACATAGTTACAAGATAACACATGACATATTTTAAGCTGTTGAGATGGGCTGGAGCTAAGGAATGAAATATGATGACATCCCCTTCCTCCTAATCTACTTCCTCTTCCCTTTGGCTGAGGACTTCTTCTGCGGACTGTGAGGAACAGGAAGCTTCTTCTCCTCCTTCTTCTCTGCCCGCCGGACGACGGGGGTGGTGGCCGGGGTTCTGCTGGAGGTAGGGGTGCGGGTGGAGACGGAGGAGGGCGTGGTGAGGCTGATGGGCGTGGTCTCCTCCTGGTCCCGGCCGGTCAGCTGGGTCATCTTCTTCTCCAAGGCCCGGAGCTGCTCCTGTACCACAGTCAGCTCCAGCTCAGCCGAGGCAGCTCGCTCTTCTGCCTCCTGGGCGCGCTGCTCCGTGTCTCTGTTGGGAGAGTGAGTGAGTGAGTGAGTGAGTGAGAAATAAAGCAGTCCTGGTTACATGTGAATGAGTGAGTGGTGGGTGGTTGGGAGAGAGTGAGTGATCGAGTGAGTGAGTGAGTGAGAGATGTAGCAGTCCTGGTTACATGTGAATGAGTGAGTGAGTGGTGCTTGGTTTGGATAGTGAGTGAGTGAGTGAAGCAGCTCCTGGCTGACATGGGTGTGGCTGGATAGATAGTGACATTCAATTCAATTTGCTAAATCAATCTGACTTCCTAGAAGTATATATGTTTAAAATGATTCTGTTTAAGTTTAATAATCTTGTTACAAATAATTGCAATGAGACAACGGCAGTGATTTTCAACGTAGCAAACATTTTCAGAGATTCCATCATCAATTGTCCAGCATCGTTAAGAGATGATGACAAGGATGACCTCCCCGTGGTCAACTTACAACAACTGGGTCTGCAGGTTGCCAACAGCAGCCAGGGCCTCAAAGGCTCGTTTTGTGTCTGGAGTTCCCGACTTGCTGGCAGTCTGTGTTTCAGGAGCCTGGAAACAACAAACATTATCTATATACCACTCAAAAGAATTAGGGAAACCCAATTGTTACATGTGAAAACAGTTAATTTGTAGTCAAATGAGTTAGGAAGTGAGTTGGGTTTACGCTGCTTTTAACAGTATTCCAGTTATATCACGGCGTGACAGCTAAATGTGGGATGAAAGCCCGAAGTGATACAGGTCTCGACGTTTACCACTTCGGTGAAACCCACGAGCACGGGTATGGTGCTGACAAACCTAGAAACATAATCGGGGTGAACCGGGATTCAAACCCACAATCATAGGTTTCTGGCGTACCCAAGCGACGCAACTCTGCACAGCGAATCGCGGCGCCTGAGACGACTGGGCCACCCGTGCCCCCTTGCCACCAAATGACGAACACTCATGGGATCAGAATCTCTTGCTGTGTAAGAACATTACTATCTGATAAATATGTAAATGAGGTACCTCAGCAGGAATTACATTTAATAAAGCTTCATGAATTCATGCAATGTATGCTTGCTCGATATACTACTGTCTAAGGGAGCAACTATTTAAATTTTTGTATTTTGGTTTGAGATCAGCATTTATTTTTTCAAATGTTTAAGAGCTCAATATTTGTGATTATTTAAAAAAAAAAAAAAAAAAAAAATGAACTATATTTTAGGGGGACTTTAAAAAGGTTCAGTCAAATAGGGGTTTGATTATTCTTTTAGCACACATATTCCTCTCACCGCCTGGACATCGGAATGTAGCCCTGCTACGTGGGTGTTGTCATCCGTGCCGATCAGTTCCAGCTTCTCTCCGGCGTCCTCCACAGGGGCCTGGGGGATACGTGACACGTGAAAATCTGACATTCGGAACTATTTTTCAAGGTGTGTCAACCTAAACAGTTTCAATATGGACATAATATATTCACTTGAAACATTTCAGAAACTGAACAATTTAGCAAATGATACATCTGTCACCCACAAATGTCAGCAGCTTGACAATCAGAACGTTCAGAGTTATTTATTTGAGGCTTGTGAAATTTAAGTAAATAATCTTAATGTTGCAACATAAGAATACATAGGTCGATGAACACTTACGCTCATAAGTAAAGAGGTGAGTGAGTGAGTGAGTTGGGTTTTACGCCGCTTTTAACAGTATTCCAGTTATAACGCGGCATGTCAGCTTAATGTTGGAGGAAAGCCCGAAGTGATGCAGGTCTCAGACGTTTACCACTCCCACGGGTATGGTGCTGACAAACCTAGAAACATAATCGGGGCGAACCGGGATTCGAACCCACAATCATAGGTTTCTGGCGTGCCCAAGGGACGCAACTCTGCACAGCAAATCGTGGCGCCTTCGACAACTGGGCCATCCTAAGTAAAGAGGTGGTGTATCCACAATACACCTCTGGTTAAAACAAGGTTGGTGAGATGAAATGGGATTTAACATCGCGTCCAAGATTATTGCACTTACATCGCGACATGCATGCACGTGTGTGTGGGGCTGCGTGTACTCGTCCGGACTGATGCCGATTTATAGTGCTAGCCTCACTGAGATACCATGCCGCAGTTTAACATGAATACCCCACCCAGACACAGTATACTGACACCGAGCCGACCAGTCCTTGTTTTAGCCCCTTAATGCCGAGCGCCAGACAGAGTAACAACAAGAACCATCTTTTAGCGTCTTTTGGTATGACGTTGCCGGGGATCGAACCCCGGACCTTCCGCTCTCCGGGCAGACACTCCACCACTAGACCATGAAGGTGGTCGGTAAAAACAAATAAACCACGGCAACAAGGCTATAAGTGAGTTTTTTTCAGTCTTGTACATGCGACTTCTGGCTGAAGTCGGCAACTGGAGTTAATCAACTTGCCTTTGCGCTTGGCTTATGACAATCCAAGTTTGTTTCCCCGTTTAACAGAAAACATCAAATCAAATTACTGAATCAGCACTTTTAACAAACCCAGTGGCAGAGGATGTATTTACCAGTTTTTGATACCAATCCCAATACAAACTACATCAGTGTACCAGTTTCATTCAAGAAATGTGTAGACTATCACTCAGACCGAGCAGAAACATCAGAGAGTTGGTAGCTAAGCATACAGCAAACAAGTGCAAAAGGGAGCGTGGCTCACTAATACCCCCGACCCGCCTAGTGTGTCAGTAGTTACAAATTAAATAGCTAGGATAGGGTCAGCTTAGGGTTTGAAAAATTAAAAAAAAAATGGAAAATTAATAAAAACAATTTTTTTCTTTTGACTGCACCCCTTCATATGACACAGATTATATGTACTAAGTTTGAGATGAATCCACTGAATAGTTTAAGAGAAATCGCGCGGACAAAGTTTTCAGACGGACGGATGGACAGAAGGACAGACAGACGGACGGACGGAACCTTGGTATAACTATATACCCCCCGACGTTTTGTCGGGGGTATAATAATCTTACCGGTTGATTCTGTTCTTGTTCTTGTTCTTTTGTCTTCTCTGCATCGGCTGTTTCTTCAGCTGTTTCCTCGACTGTCGTCTGCTCCACACTTTTGTCTGTCGTCTGCTCTTCCGTCTGCCCTGCCGTCTGCTCTTCCGTCTGCCCTGCTGTCTGCTCCGATGTCTGGCCGGTGCTGCCCTCTGCTGGAGTGGGAGTGGGGGCCGGAGTAGTCTCCTCTTGTTTCTGCAGATCAGAGGGTCCTACAGTTACTTCCTCTACAACTTCTATCTCAAGAAATCACCAAATTTCCATCATTGAGAAATCACCGCTTTTCTGAGATAATTGATTTCAGTCTCTGATGCACCCAAGTGTGTGGTATTTAATAATAGTCACTCTGAATCGGAAAACATCCCATCGGTGGCGATGTTAGACATCCAGACACTCAAGTCTATTTTTCAGGAACATAAAACAAGCCTTGGAAGGGTGAGTTCTACACTGCATGTCAAATTCCAAGCTCTCTGTTGTCCCGAAAACTTGTAATACACTCTCTTCGTCGATTCTATAGTGTTTTCTGTCCCAAAAGTATGGCCACACATATACTGACTCTTGAAATAACTATAAATCGGCATCACCTAGTATTACACATATCGCGATTCCAAATGCCTAACAACAATGATTGAGAAGGAAGTATGGTACATTTCTTTAAATATTAGATTCCACGGTGATGCGGTTGTATTTCAGTCTTTCTTTATTGTTTAACGCTGCACTCACCAATATTCCAGCTACATGACGCCGGTCTGTAAATAATTGACTCTGGACCAGACAATCAAGTGATTGACATCATGAACATCGATCTACACATTTGGGATATGATGACATGCATCCACCAAGTCAGTGTGCCAGATCACCTGATCCTGTTAGGCCACTTACGACAAGCTTAGTCGCCTGTTACGAAAAGAATGGGTTGCTGAAGACCTATTCTTTAACTGGACCTAATGCGGTTATCAACCCAGCTGTTTCAATCAGAAGTGGTAATTCTGATTTGAAACCTCAGATCGACCAATCAGTTTCGATTATTTTCCAAATTAATGGTAGAAGCCACCTTTAATGGCTTTTAAAATCTCTCTCTCTCTCCCTCTCTCTCTCTCTCTCTCTCCCTCTCTCTCTCTCTCTCTCTCTCTCACTAGGCCACGGAGATGGTCAAAACACAATGAACATCATGGGCGGATACAGCTTTTTTGAAAAGGGGGGGTGCACAATTAAGATCTATTTATTGTCTTTGGTGGTAATTTTTACAGAAATTTTTTTTTTTTTCGAAATAAAAAGGGGGGCTGCGCACCCCCGCACCCCCCCTCTGTATCCGCCCATGAACATAATGATAATTGAATGCAGTTTGCAGAATGATGTACAAGCAGAATGATGTACAGATTTTTTTATTTCACTGAATCGAACTTGCAACCTTTGTATGTGAAATCAAAGCTGATAAAACTCTTCACTTGTTAAAAAGGTTTGGTTTGAGATGTCAGTGATAAATAAATATGCTTCCTCCAGTTCAGGGGGCACGGGTGGCCCAGTTGTCTAAGGCGCCGCGATTCTCTGTGCAGGGTTGCGTCCCTTGGGCACGCCAGAAACCTATGATTGTGGGTTCGAATCCTGGTTCGCCCCGATTATGTTTCTAGGTTTGTCAGCACCATACCCGTGCTCGTGGGTTTCACCGAAGTGGTAAACGTCTGAGACCTGCATCACTTTGGGCTTTCCTCCCACATTAAGCTGACACGCCGCGTTATAACTGGAATACTGTTAAAAGCGGCATTAAACCAAACTCACTCACTCACTCCTCCAGTTCATGGAAAGAGTGTCTGAAATATAAAACTTGTAATATACCATGGAAATTGTTGTTTATGACAAGATTGTCAATTAGAGAATGGTACCTCAGCAAGCTCAGAAAAGACTCTACCAATCCCTTAGTTACAAAACTACTCGATACTCAGTAATTCAGGGTAAGTACACCTCCACCTCAGTCATGCTCAGATCAATGTTCGGGTTACGAAACATCTTCAGTTTGGTTCTACTCCCTGTAAAACAATCAATGTTCTCTCTACTCCTACCTGGGGCGTTGGAGCTTCTGGTGGCTGCTGCTGCTGCTGTTGCTGCTGCTGCTGCTGCTGCTGCTCCTGCTCCTGGGGCTCCAATGGCTCCTTATCATGGTATCCTTCAGGTCTGACTGAGCTGACCTGTGTCTTGGACTGACTGTCCAGAGGTCCGAGGCGAGGGAACAGCTCCTCCACCGTCTCACCGGTCAACTGACTGGTCAAGATCTTAGCTGTGTGGGTCCAGTCTTCACATTCGCCCTGATGGACAGATATTTCAACATCAATTATTTCTTGACAAACATACATATTGAAGAAATTCTCTGTTCTTGTCAAGGGCCGACCACATAGATCGGGTGTCAGTCAGACCGGTGACCTGGCTGATTGTGTGTCATCATACCCCGATGGCATGGGACGCTGCTCATAATATCAATCAAGGGTTTGTCTAGTCCAGACTTAATTACATACAGGCCACAATCACATGACTGGAAATTGTGTTGTGTTAAACACAAAGAAAACAAGAAACACTTAAATAGCCACAACCCACACTGAAAACACCGGCCTATATTTCTTTAGGAAATCAGCTGGGGTCACAGACTCATCGATGTTCAAGTAGAGGGAGAGTGCTTCCTAAAGATGGAGGACATGAGCAATATTGACAGCATTTTAGCCACTGGTGTATCAAAATTCAGGTGTTTTTTATTTTTTATACACATTAATAATCTGAATAATCAAAATGATTTCTAGATTTTTTGCTCATTTCTTAAATGACGGATTGGGGTCCCTATCCACGTCCTTAAATGAGTCCGGTCTAGTGGATCAGGTCCCTGTCATCCCCGTCCTTAAATGAGTCCGGTCTAGTGGATCAGGTCCTTATCGTCCCCGTCCTTAAATGAGTGAGTGAGTATGGTTTTACGCCACTTTTAGCAATATTCCAGCAATATCATGGCGGGGGACACCAGAGATGGGCTGGGAATCGAACCCAGGTCTTCGGCGTGACGAGCGAATGCTTTATCCACTAGGCTACCCAACCGCCCCCGTCCTTAAATAAGCCCGGTCTAGTGGATCGGGTCCCTATCATCATGTCCTTAAATAAGCCCGGTCTAGTGGATCAGGTCCCTATTATCATGTCCTTAAATAAGCCCGGTCTAGTGGATCGGGTCCCTATTATCATGTCCTTAAATAAGCCCTGTCTATTGGATCAGGTCCCTATTATCATGTCCTTAAATAAGCCCGGTCTAGTGGATTGGGTCCATATCATCCATTTCCGTTCCGGGGAACAATCATGAGGATGTACTCACCCTCAGCCTCCGCAGGTCCCGGAGTTCCTGGTCGGCGTGCTCCTCCATGTTGTCCTGGCGCTGCAGCGTGTTGTCCAAGACGATGCCGTCACAGCAGCTGGCAACACCACAAGCAGAACAACAACATAACATGCTGTTTCCTACAAAGTCATGTCATCTTTCACTAATTTAATTACTTCAATTTATAGATCCTTAAAAAAAAGTATAAAAGTCTGAAACAAGACACAATTCCTCAGAAAAAATTGCAGTTCCAATGATGTCTTGACTAGGATTGTCATCTAGCGTTCTATGACAGTGTTATACCCCAAAACATGAACCCAAAAATATGGTAGGAGGCACATTGCAGTAATAGATTTAGTACTTGTTTCTTTTAATTACAAAGTGAGATTATTGTAACAAATGCTATATGTGGGATAACACTTTCTTAGTAAAGTACAGATTCTAGTACTTTTTTGGGTTGAGTCCCGTCCAGAATTCGAACCCGTACCACCTGAGTGAGGCACCTAATCGCCAGCACGCAAAGATTATTATTTTTATTTTTCCCCTTCTGCCTTCTAACGGCTTGAATATTGCTGAAAGTGACAACAAAGAAAGAAAGAAAGAAAGAAAGAAAGAAAGAAAGAAACAAACATTTGGCAAATATGATTCGGGACACCATATTAACAGACATGACATGACATAGGTCTGTACCGATACACATGTCGCAGTATGATGCCTATCAAGACAGTGAAATTGCGGTATGATACCCATCTTGATAGTGAAATTCTGATATCATAAATGATAACTACCTCAGGAGCAGGGCTGGGACGAGTCCAAATTTACTACTTGGGCACCCGACTCTACCTAATCTGGGTACCCGCTGTAGGTCTCAAGAGTTGGGTACAAAATGTCTGATTGGGAATTGTTTTACTGCAGCCCTGGCAAAAACTATTTAGATACAAGTATCTAACGATCAGATCATGGTCACTGAAGTTGACTGAAGCTTTATCTTTACTCAAACATATACAAGTCAAAAGGAAAGTGTGCATCATCAGAAAGAAATGGGAACATTAATGACTTGTAGCGTAACCGCTGAGCTATAGTGATTATTTGGTCAATAAACAATATATCACGTGACATCAGTCCAGGTTGTACTGTGGGTACCTGGGTCCTACTCAGGACCCACCCGACCCATGTACCCGAGCTACCCGTCCCAGCCCTACTCAGTAGTGAAATAGTACCGGTAAGATACCCCCCCAAATCTAGAGTATCTAATGGTTAGTCCCTCCTCGCGGCCTGAAAATATTCAAATTAAAATGCATCCCGTCTCACACTGGGATGAAAATGTAACAATGAATGTATTCAGGCCTTGAAGCATATAACGTTTCAAGTTGAAAATACAGCGCCAAACATTTCAACTCCAACAAACATGAAAACATAGCGCCAGAACAAAGTCTGGCTTCCAGATGGCCGAGACCAAAAAACCTTCACTTCATGGTGAACAGACACCACTGGGCCCCAGTCCACAAAGTGATCTCAGCTTCGACTGGTTTCAAACTATGGGAGCTAGGATCATCTTAGCACAAAGATGCAATTTCTTTCCAAAACCTTGGACCAGTTGTCAAAATAGAAACAAATGAGACTTATGTCAAAATCTGGGGTGTGTGGGGTGTGTATGTATGGTGTGTGTGTGGTGTGTATGTCAAAATCTGGGGTGTGAGGTTTGTGTGTGTGGTGTGTGTGTATGGTGTGTGTATGTGTGGTGTGTGTGTATGGTGTGCGGAGTGTGTATGTATGGTGTGTGTATGTGGGGTGTGTATGTATGGTGTTTTGTGTGGTGTGTATGTATGGTGTGTGTGTGTGTGTGTGGTGTGTGTATGGGGTGTGTGTGGGGTGTGTGTGTATGGTGTTTGTGTGGGGTGTGTATGTATGGCTTGTATGCATGGTGTGTGTATGTGTGTGTATGACTTTCTTACCTAGCTTCAATCACCGTTAGATCCCTCAATATATAAGAAAATAAATAAGTTTGATCACATTGAAAAAAAATAGTGTTAGTAGGGATGAGATCAAATGGCCAAATCTCTGTTCTTTTGATCATGTGGAATGTTTGTGTGATGTGACATGAGGGTCACGTTGTTGTTGTTATGTTGCCATAGGAACCATGTCCCACACAGTTAAAGTACTGATGAAACTAGGAATAGTGAAGTTGTGGCTACATCACACACTCAAAGCAACATGTATTACCGGTACTTGTCTGGTGCAAGCTGGGAAACAATTATTCTTTTGTTTTTCCATAAGTTTGATTTTCAGGCCTGGAGGTCATGTAAAAAAAGCATCAAACAGGGGAAAAAAATTCACTTTCTACTTTCAGGCAGATCTGAACCAAGTCGTACAAAAGCCGCCGGACATCCCTTTGTGTCATGAAGCCCTGGGTTAACATGCCAAGTTGAACAGACAACGGAACCTGAGTCGACGCGAGTGACTCACAAGGTGAGAGGGAGAGACAGAGTGGAGGCCGTGGCCACCACCGGCATGTCTTCAACGTAGATGTAGACGCTGTGGCTGTACGCCTCCAGAATCCGCCTGGCAGAGGGTCAGGTGCACAACATGGGTTAGATAAGTTCACAGGCGGGTTAAAACAGGGTTAAAATAGCCAGGAAATGAAAGACCAGTCTTTGAGTCTGAGGTAGTGTTGAGGTAGGGCTGGGTAGACTGGTAGTATAGTGGTAGAGAATGGTAGAATGGTTAATCAGATCAGGGCAGCATTATGGTAGGACTGTGGTAGTATTGAGGTAGGGCCGGGTAGACTGGTAGTATAGTGGTAGAGAATGGTAGAATGGTTAATCAGATCAGGGCAGCATTATGATAGGACTGTGGTAGTATTGAGGTAGAGCTGGGTAGACCCGTAGTACAGTGGTAGAGAATGGTAGAATGGTTAAAAAGATCAGGGCAGCATTATGGTAGGACTGTGGCAGTATTGAGGTAGAGCTGGGTAGACTGGTAGTATAGTGGTAGAGAATGGTAGAATGGTTAATCAGATCAGGGCAGCATTATGATAGGACTGTGGTAGTATTGAGGTAGAGCTGGGTAGACCTGTAGTACAGTGGTAGAGAACGGTAGAATGGTTAAAAAGATCAGGGCAGCATTATGGTAGGACTGTGGTAGTATTGAGGTAGGACTGTGGTAGTATTGAGGTAGGACTGTGGTAGTATTGAAGTAGGACTGTGGTAGTATTGAGGTAGGGCTGGGTAGATTGGTAGTATAGTGGTAGAGAATAGTAGAATGGTTAATCAGATCAGGGCAGCATTATGGTAGGACTGTTGTAGTATTGAGGTAGGGCTGGGTAGACTGGTAGTATAGTGGTAGAGAATGGTAGAATGGTTAATCAGATCAGGGCAGCATTATGATAGGACTGTGGTAGTATTGAGGTAGAGCTGGGTAGACCCGTAGTACAGTGGTAGAGAATGGTAGAATGGTTAAAAAGATCAGGGCAGCATTATGGTAGGACTGTGGCAGTATTGAGGTAGAGCTGGGTAGGCTGGTAGTATAGTGGTAGAGAATGGTAGAATGGTTAATCAGATCAGGGCAGCATTATGATAGGACTGTGGTAGTATTGAGGTAGAGCTGGGTAGACCTGTAGTACAGTGGTAGAGAACGGTAGAATGGTTAAAAAGATCAGGGCAGCATTATGGTAGGACTGTGGTAGTATTGAGGTAGGACTGTGGTAGTATTGAGGTAGGACTGTGGTAGTATTGAAGTAGGACTGTGGTAGTATTGAGGTAGGGCTGGGTAGATTGGTAGTATAGTGGTAGAGAATAGTAGAATGGTTAATCAGATCAGGGCAGCATTATGGTAGGACTGTTGTAGTATTGAGGTAGGGCTGGGTAGACTGGTAGTATAGTGGTAGAGAATGGTAGAATGGTTAATCAGATCAGGGCAGCATTATGGTAGGACTGTAGTAGTATTGAGGTAGGACTGTGGTAGTATTGAGGTAGGACTGTGGTAGTATTGAAGTAGGACTGTGGTAGTATTGAGGTAGGACTGTGGTAGTATTGAGGTAGGGCTGGGTAGACTGGCAGTATAGTGGTAGAGAATGGTAGAATGGTTAATCAGATCAGGGCAGCATTATGGTAGGACTGTAGTAGTATTGAGGTAGGACTGTGGTAGTATTGAGGTAGGACTGGGTAGACTGGTAGCATAGTGGTAGAGAATGGTAGAATGGTTAATCAGATCAGGGCAGCATTATGATAGGACTGTGGTAGTATTGAGGTAGGGCTGGGTAGACTGGTAGTATAGTGGTAGAGAATGGTAGAATGGTTAATCAGATCAGGGCAGCATTATGATAGGACTGTGGTAGTATTGAGGAACTATTCCTTGCAGTAAAGCTCTAGCATGTAGGAAGTACTAACACTATGTAATGTCACAGGCACTTACAGGGTGACATAGTTGGAGAATTTCTGCAGCCTCTCAAACAGCGACTTGGCATTCTCGTGCAGCAGGGGTATCGACGAGCTGCCCAGTAGCACCATCTCACCAGCCTCCACAGAGTTACCCTCCTTGTCCGGTGCAAGACGCAGCAACATCTGAACCATCCACTGCACCATCTCAGCATGCAACGTTGACACCTACACACCAGACACCAGGTTCATCATTGTCCTACACAAGTGGAAAGGATCTCGAGGAAAACGGAGGAACTTTATATACTACTCAACACTTGCTAAGGACACTATGCCTTCGACTTAAGATGACTATTTTGGTCCTTAGCTAATGTTGTGTAGTATATGCTACACAAACAGTCTCACTTATTTTACTAACTTTCATTTCATCAATTCATCTATTCCATTACGACACAGTAGGCCAAGCGATTTAAGGCACTCTGATTGGAGTTAAGTCCCTTAGGTATGGTTAGGATGTGCTGATTGTGGGTTCAACTTCCAGGTTAACCTTGATTCAGATCCATGCTCTTGAGTTTCACAAAAGTGATAAATAGAGATTATTTGCTAGCATGTGTGCAATAATTATTATACGAAACGAGAGTAGAATTCATGAGAGTGAATTCTTGTATTTCCTGACAAACATGAAAACACAAATTCTTACACAAGTTTTGTAAAATCAGCATTACCCATTATTTCTTTAACCTTTTGAGCTCCGCTTTAGAAAAAAACACAGATCACGACTGCCGACTTAGAAAACAACAAATTTTGAATGACATCAACAATCTTCGGTTATGACGCCGGTTCTAGTGTGACGTCACTGTGGCCTCTATGATGACAATTAGATTCAAAAGACATCAACATCCGGATAACATAAACAACAGACTGGCTCCTTTGAAGTGATATTTGCACTGGAGCACATACCATGTTTATGAACTCGGGTATTTCTAACCCAATTGGTAATAAATGTATATACTACTCTGTTTCCATAGGGATCGTGAGCGGCCAGGCAGGTGTACATGTGTCTGATAGCTCAGATATGTTGTCAAACAAATAGTATTTAATACGGCCATGGGACTGAAGTATGGGCAGTTTCATTTCAAGTTGAACAAGCATAAAATACTCATATCCCTCGCCAATATGACATGTCTGGTTGTGTGCAAGGCATTAGCCCTCTGGAAACTAGGACTACCGCCATTTTCAGTCTAAGTCAAAGTCATTGCTTTGGAAACTAAAAAAATACATTTTTCTAAAATTCCAAACTATCAAAAGGCACCAGTTCACTAGACCTACTATGTGCCAAGTGTGGTTAAGATATCTCTCATGGTTTTTGAGTTCTGTAGGGATTATCCTTGAAATTTTTACCTATGAGAGAAAATCTCCTGGTCGAAAAGCAATGAGATTTGGGATGTGATGAGATTTTGCTAATTTTCAGAGATACATGTATTTCATCTTGACACAGTGGGGAAACTGTATTTGATTGTTGGTACTTGTGACTCGATTAATGTTGCAATTAATGTTACTAGATTATAAAGATATATCCTTGGATATCCTATTTTCGAACATTAATCATTCCACTGTGAATACATGTATTAAAAAATATTAGCATTAGTATTAACATAAAATTACATTCGACTTATATTTCTGTTCATTGTCAACTTTAGGAGAAATTACACCAATATGTATGTATTTCTGTTCATTGTGGACTTGATGGGAAATTATTCGCGAGGACAATTATAGATCGTTTAGGAGGCATGTTTATCACCATCAGCTGTTCATGTCGTTGGCATGCAGGAGACAACAATCTGCAGTTATCAAATTTCAACAATGTGTGTTTAGATCGTAATTCAATATATTTGACATGAAATAGCAAATGTTGTAAATGGTGTAACAGTTTGTTGGCCAAAAATATATTATTTACATTCCAGTGCTTTCGTCAATTTCCGTCTGACGTGTACTATATCAGAGGCCGGGTCTCTGACCATATCAAATTAAATCTATCAATATGGACTTTTCAATTAATTAGAAGTGACAGTTCATTATACAATGACAATTGCTCCAGGTTCACCCTGTGGTTTTATTAGCAACAGTTAAGTCATTTATTTCACAGAGAAGGCAGCGTGTTTGCCATGTGCAGCAGCCAGAAAATGTTTACAAAAAGACTGTTGACATTCACGATGTATAAGAGTTACCTTTGAATGATTAAGTCATAGTTCCCAATTTTATGGACGAATTTGGAAGCAAAGTATCGTAGCATATTCTAAAAAATCTAAATCCAACTTGCTTTTTGGCCACAAGAAATAGTTCAAAATTTGTAATTCATGCACGGTGGCCATTCTTGCACGAGTCATCTTCCCGAGGCAAGTGAGTTAACTGACTATAAAAGTCCAGTTTCCACCCTTGCCGAACGAGGCTGGTATTATGGAGTTACATTTTGGCTGGACTAATGAGTCTATGCATAGTCCAATCAAAATCTCGCACCGAAATTGAAACCGGTTCGTAAAGTGTCATGCAGATTTTGGTCGACTGCAGGATTTGCAAAGCATGTGCACCGCTAACTCGTTGTCAACAAATATTTTCTATATCTTTTCATGTTTTAAATCAAGGTGCTCACGTGATTTGATGCACTTTGTGATGTAAGACTCGTTTGATCACAATATAGATCTTGATTATCGATCAGATCGTCTTTACTGGGCGCCACTGTTTTGTTTGGAGCAAATGCTAGTGATACGAGAGGTTGAATCTGATTGGTCAATAGGAGAGGCATACTCGTAATAGCCACTGGTGGCGCTAGTTCGGCAAGGGTGGAAACTGGACTTTTAAAGTCAGTTAACTCTCTTGCCTCGGTAAGATGTGCACGAGTGTACGTTCATGAAAACCTTGTATCTGAAGGCTATAGGCGAATCTCAACTAAAATACGATTGTTTCTGATCTGAAATTTGCAGATTATTATGGAGAAAGAGTTATCGAAATTTGCTCATGTTTTGAAACTTTACCAGTGATTGCCTTTTTTTCTCTTCATTTCTGCATGGACACAAATACATGTAGATCAATGTCTTTGATTTCTGGTAGGATTTAAGTCTTAAAAAAATATGTTAAACGACTTGGAGTTGTAGATCACGGAATAAGATTTTCGTGCACTGCCAAAGTGTTTAGTTTGTAAAAACCAAACACTGGTTTTGCCAATCGGGGTTGCGCGCTCCACCATTGTCAGCTGATGCAAAGCTCCATGCAATGTTATAGGAATCGGTTATGAATAAACTTGCGTGTAAGTTTCTTATTGACATTTTTAGGTACCGTAGATAAATTTATTCAAGCAATACGACATTTTCGATTTTCGTAGGTGAAAATGAGAGTGTTAATGCAGATGAAACTATTGAAAGATCTACGCGGTTTTCAATCGCGCTGACTGACTGTTGATGCGATATCTATGACAACTATGAGAGAATATCGCGGAATTGAGGCGTAAGTTAATCCCTGGTTCTGCTTCGGTAATGAAACGTGATGGACGGATGGAGAGCACCCTCTCCTATATCCCCCTTCCACTTCGTGGGGGGGGGATAATAAATAAGGATACTTAGTTCAATAAGTTGTTGTTGCCATGTTGCCCCACAGTATCAAATATATCAGATGCTGAGTAGTATATTATTGTCTGCAACCTGCACTTCTTGGTGATGGCGGATATTATGCAGAAGTACTGAAATATGACACAAATACTGTTCACTCAGTCTGTCCCTCAATGGCCTTGACCTACCTGCTCAACCAGCTTAGCATCCTCGCTGTCGATGGTATTGCTGGCAGTGGTCGCCCACTTCTGCGTCTTCCTCACCGTGTCGTGGATGTCAATGCTGCAACAGACAACAGCTCATTGCTTATAGTTGGGCTGACTTGTGTCTGTGTTAGATGCCCTGACATGGATCATCCTTGGTTATCCAGGGTATTATATCTCCAGTCTATCAGAATAAATACCTTGGACACATGCACAACCACTTTGTTTCAGCGGCAACGTCCTCCATTTCTCATGTTACTAACATACTGATTTTCTCTCATTTAAATCAAAACCAATCAAACCTCCTACTGAAGACACAGATCTACAAACAAAATAGCAGCCTTGTATGAATGAGCTCTTTAAAACTTTAATCTAATCAGAAAACTTTGTTTGCCTGAAATAGTTTTCCGGTGTACAGGTACTAATAATGAAACAAGCAAGTCAAGTGCTGGGAAGATCATAGATGTTATCTCGCTGTTGATATTGTTGAGAGTTTGTCTCTAGTGATTGCAAGTTGCAGGAAATGATTGAAGTGCTGGCAAAATGTTTTGAGTGGCCAGATCTTAACAGGAAGTATGAAGTAGACATTTTGTTTGTTGTAATGTTTCATGATTTTTAACATTTTTTTCTCCAATTGGTATATAAGTATGTTTGTTTGTTGTTTAACGCCGCACTCAGCAATATTCCAGCTATATGACGTCAGTCTGTAAATAATCGAATCTTGACCAGACAATCCAGTGATTGACATCCTGAGCATCGATCCACGCAATTGGGATACGATGACATGCATCAACCAAGTCAACAAGCCTGACCACCCAATCCCGTTAGTCGCCTCTTACGACAAGCATAGTCACCTTTTACGGCAAGCATGAGCTGCTGAAGACTTATTCTACCCCGGGTCTTCATGGATCTGGTACATAAGTCAAGCATGTTAAACTGTTGTGTGGATAGGATGAACCAGCTTGGATTCAGCTAGGATTCCTAGCCTAGGATTCAGGTCTACATGAAAAAGTCAGTAAAAATTCCAAAATGGAATAAAAAATTAATGATTTTGCTTTACTATCAGTGTTAGCAAAAGATTACTTGTATTTTATTACTAACCAGACCAATAAAAGACTTGGATAAGAAGCTTAGCAATATTACATTGAAGATAATAATGTGAGTGAGAGAAATTCCAAACTTTATACCACAAAAAGTTAGATTGTTCTATGTGTTGTGCATGTTTGAAATGAAACTAAAAATTATTTGCTTTCTTACACAGATAAAAAAATAATTACCAAGCATAGATGAAAATGCAAAAAAGACAAAGCAAAATATTACACAAATTTGAACTCTTATTTGAACCCCTGAACAAAAGAGGTTCACTTTTCATGAAACTGAATAAACCATGGACATAAAATCACCCATTATGACAGTGTGTTTCTTCAACATGTCAAGACTGACTTTTGTAAAAAAAGAAAAAAGCTGTGCAGACAATAAGCAAATTAGAAACATCATGTTAGTAAGTCGCATGCATAGGTGGATCCAGAGGGGGGGTCCAGGGGGTCTATACCCCCTCCCCTCCCCCCCCCCCCCCACCCCACTGAGAGGATTTTGTTATTGGACCCCTTCCCTTCAAAATGCTGGATCTGCCCTTGGCGTGTGTATGTGGCTTCTTGTACTAATGCTGGATTTATCGTGCTAGCCCACTGAGATACCCCATGAATACCCCACCCCGACACAGTATACTGACTCCGAGCCGACCAGTCCTTGTCTTAGCCCCTTAGCGCCAGGCAGGGTAGCAACAAGTTCCATCTTTAACTAGTTTTGGGATAGAACCACTGTTAGTAAGTAGGCTTAACATGGTTTAAAACAGTTTTACAGTTACATCCAAACGTGTCAACTGAACGAAGGAGGAAAGCCTGAAGTCACACACATCAAAGATGCTTACAATCTCATTCAAATCTGATTTATATTAAAAGATTAAAAGAATGAGTGCCAGGGTTCTGAACCCATGACCAGTGTATCCTGTCATCACCAAGGGATGCAACTCTGCACAGCTAATTGCAGACCCCACTGTACCCCATTACATGAAGTGTTTGTTTGTTGTTTAATGCTGCAGTCAACAATATTCCGGCCATATCACAGCAACCTGTAAACAATCAAAGCGGGAGGAGACAAACCAGTGATTGATATCATAAGCAATGTCCCACATCAGGGTACGGTTGCACAGAATCAAACAAAGCATGAAAGCTCATCAGCAAATCCATTTAGTCGCCTCTTACAACAAAACAGGCTTGTGACTAGGGCTGGGACGAGTAACTCGGGTACTCGGGTACTCAAGTCTGGTGGGGACTGAGAAGGACCTGGGTACCCACAGAACTACCAATCATGGTTGGTCATGTGATATATTGTTTAATGACAAAAATGATCTTGAACTGTAACGTTTCACCACAAGTCACTGATGTTCGCATTTCTTTCTGACTATGCACCCACACTTTTATGTTTGAATAAAGATAAAATTTCATACTGTAAAGTTCAGTGTATGCATGACCAGATCGTTTTATACGTGTATCTAAACACATTTTGTCCAGGGCTACAGTCAAGCTATTCCCAATAGGACATTTTGTACCTATCTCTGGAGACCCACAGCAAGAACCAGGGTAGGGTCGGGTAATAGGGGGGCGGGTACCTGGGTAGGGTCGGGTAAAAGGTGGGTGGGTACCCGAGAAGGGTCGGGTAATAGGTTGGTGTTGGTACCAGGGTAGGGTTTGGTAATAGGGGGGCGGGTACCACGGTAGGGTCAAGTAATAGGTGGGTGGGTACCCGGGAAGGGTCGGGTAAAAGGTGGGTCGGTACCCGGGTAGGGTCGGGTAATAGGTGGGTGTTGGTACCAGGGTAGGGTTTGGTAATAGGGGGGGGCGGGTACCCGGGTAGGGACGGGTACCCGGGAAGGGTCGGGTAATAGGTGGGTGGGTACCTGGGTAGGGTCAGGTAATAGGTGGGTGTTGGTACCAGGGTAGGGTTTGGTAATAGGGGGGGCGGGTACCCGGGTAGGGTCAGGTAATAGGGGGGCGGGTACCAGGGTAAGGTCGGGTAATAGGTGGGTGGGTACCTGGGTAGGGTCAGGTAATAGGTGGGTGGGTACCAGGGTAGGGTTTGGTAATAGGGGGGGCGGGTACCTGGGTAGGGTCAGGTAATAGGGGGGCAGGTACCAGGGTAAGGTCGGGTAATAGGTGGGTGGGTACCCGGGTAGGGTCAGGTAATAGGTGGGTGGGTACCAGGGTAGGGTCGGGTAATAGGTGGGTGGGTACCAGGGTAGGGTCAGGTAATAGGTGGGTGGGTACCAGGGTAGGGTCGGGTAATAGGTGGGTGGGTACCAGGGTAGGGTCGGGTAATAGGTGGGTGGGTACCCGGGTAGGGTCGGGTAATAGGGGGGTGGGTACCAGGGTAGGGTCGGGTAATAGGTGGGTGGGTACCTGGGTAGTAAATTTGGACTCGTCCCAGCCCTACATGTGACCTAATCTAAACAGAATCCCCACATAAATATGAAGTTAGTTACAGAAGCGGAAAACAGAATGAAGGTGGAAGGGTTAACTCACACTGGTGTAGAAGACAATGCGGAGAGGGTACCAGTGACAAACTAGCAACATTAGTGAACTAGACAATGCTGGGAGAGTGTCACCACAGACTGCACTGGTGCTGGGATGTTCTGCCAGGGAGCAGATTGTACACAAGTCGTTAATCTGTACACTTAACATATACAATACCAATAACGACGTTAAGACACCATACTATTTCTATTTAATTAGGACATTATTTTTTTTTCTTTTGTCATGGTACTATTTCTAGTTTTACTTTGAAACACTCACCTTTAGGTTTTTGGAAAGGAAACCTCGGCCCATTTCCGCATAGCATAGTGATTTTAGCGCTAAGGTGATCGGAACTCCCCTACTTAAACAGAGGCTTATGCTTATCGTAGTGCTAAGTTTCAAATTATATTCCAGTGTTTAGAAATAAAAAAAATAAAAATAGGAAGCCAGCTAGATAATATCCATAATCTGAATTATCGAGCTGGCTTCCATTTGCCCGTATTGCTATATGTATTCTTTTACCTATCAGTGCTAATTACCCCCGGCCTCCCGTTTGCCCATTGCCCATTGCCAATCAGTGATAATTTAGTCCTGGCTTCCAGTTGTCGTAACTATCAGCGCTATTACTGTAAAGTGTTGGCTTCCATTGTCTATTGCTAATCACCTATCAGCACCAATTATCTGTTGGCTTCCCTTGTTAGTTTCCACCTTTTGTTATCTTATTACTTTTGTTGTTCTTACATGTACATGTATATGCTCTCTGCCTAATAGCATTCATTCATCTGATGACGGAGTAAGTACATACTCTGAAACGTGAGTTCCTCATAATAAAGAAGTTGACATCCATAAATTCTCTTCCTTATATCTTGCAAAGTTTAAAAGTATCCTCGAAGTTCAGAACAGATGTTGACAAGTTTGCGTACCACTGTACACCACCTTGATTAACAAGACCATGACTAAAGTTCCCCCTGTATGCCTGAACTCGAGTAAGAAAGGATATTGGGAACTCTGTGTACAATCTGCTCCAGGAACGAGTAAGAACAGCAGCCTATCATGGCCGTCATGCTGCCATGCTGCATGGCATTGTCGTGTCTACCTAGTGTGTTCCCGCCCCTCCTGCTTGTCCTCCTGCTTCTGGGTGGTGCCGACGTACTCCAGACACTGGTCCACGGCCACCACCCAGTCGTCCAGGGTGTGGTAGAAGCTGCTCCAATCTGTCTCCTGCAGGGTCATGGTGCCGTTCAGGGCCGACGTCAGGCGCGTCTCCCAAAGCTCGATAGCGTTTGTCAGGTGGATCACGCTCGTCGCTACTCCTGTGAATGAGTGAGGCAACTCTTTTTAATCATTCAGATTATGGATTCAACCAAATCGAGCCAAAAGGCCCAATTATGAAATAAAATAAAAAAAAGTTTCCAAAATTAGCCACTTATCTGAAGCCCAAGTCTAGTAAACTTTGGTTCAGTCTTGTAAGCTCAGCTAACATTGCATCCAAGCTTACTGCACTTATATAGCAAGTGGGGGTATTCATATGGTGAAACTAACATCTGATGATGAGGATGCCAAGAGAGAAGCTGAGGATGATAGACTCAAATGTTTTTGTCACAGATTGAAAATGGTGTATATTTATTTCTTGACATTAATAATAAACAGTCCAAAACAGTCCAAACAGTTCCAAAATAGATTTCTGGCGGTCAATTACTCAAGAGTACCTTCGAATCTGAAAGCACACAATATTTATCTCCTGAATGTCATCTCAACCACAGCTCATTATACATCAAGAGACTTCCTTGTTCTTGTCTGGTGTTTGTTTCTAGTGTCTAGTGAGGATGATATGGCTCGTGTCTAGTGTCTCATGTTTAGTGTCTTGTGATGTGTCTAGTGAGGATGAGATGACTTGTGTCTAGTGTCTCATGTTTAGTGTCTTGTGATGTGTCTAGTGAGGATGAGATGACTTGTGTCTCATGTTTAGTGTCTCGTGATGTTCTAGTGAGGATGAGATGACTTGTGTCTAGTGTCTCATGTTTAGTGTCTCGTGATGTTCTAGTGAGGATGAGATGACTTGTGTCTAGTGTCTCATGTTTAGTGTTTCGTGATGTGTCTAGTGAGGATGAGATGACTTGTGTCTAGTGTCTCATGTTTAGTGTCTCATGAGGATGAGATGGCTCGTGTCTAGTGTCTCATGTTTAGTGTCTCGTGATGTGTCTAGTGAGGATGAGATGACTTGTGTCTAGTGTCTCATGTTTAGTGTCTCATGAGGATGAGATGGCTCGTGTCTAGTGTCTCATGTTTAGTGTCTTGTGATGTGTCTAGTGAGGATGAGATGGCTCGTGTCTAGTGTCTCATGTTTAGTGTCTCGTGATGTGTCTAGTGAGGACGAGATGACTTGTGTCTAGTGTCTCATGTTTAGTGTCTCGTGATGTGTCTAGTGAGGATGAGATGGCTCGTGTCTAGTGTCTCATGTTTAGTGTCTCGTGATGTGTATAGTGAGGATGAGATGACTTGTGTCTAGTGTCTCATGTTTAGTGTCTTGTGATGTGTCTAGTGAGGATGAGATGGCTCGTGTCTAGTGTCTCATGTTTAGTGTCTCATGATGTGTCTAGTGAGGATGAGATGACTTGTGTCTAGTGTCTCATGTTTAGTGTCTCGTGATGTGTCTAGTGAGGATGAGATGGCTCGTGTCTAGTGTCTCATGTTTAGTGTCTCATGATGTGTCTAGTGAGGATGAGATGACTTGTGTCTAGTGTCTCATGTTTAGTGTCTCGTGATGTGTCTAGTGAGGATGAGATGGCTTGTTCAAGCTACTGCACTTACCATTTTCTCCACTGATTCTGTTCGTGAACTGTTTTAATAATTCCTCCACTTCCTGAAAAATGACCAAATGACAGAATCTGATACACACTACAGAACTCAATATCTGCTTAACTGAAAGACATTTTCTTTTCAATGTTTCTTTGGAGGTTTCTGAGGAGATGTTTAGCTCAGGTATCAGATGGCATTATCGTTTGTTCATTTATTTTCCACGCCAGCTATATGACAGCTGTTTCGAAATAACCGATTCTTGACCAGACAATCCAGTGACTGATTGCATGTCATCGATACACACAAGTGGGATTCAATGACAAGCATCAAGCAAGTCACCAAATGAGGTTGATTCTACACCACTGTGCACAGTACTTCGGTCATAGCCGTTTTAACAGTATTCCAGTTATATCACGGCGTGTCAGCTTAATGTGGGAGGAAAGCCCGAAGTGATGCAGGTCTCAGATGTTTACCACTTCGGTGAAACCCACAAGAACGGGTATGGCGCTGACAAAGAAACATAATCGGGGCGAACCGGGAATCGAACCCACAATCATAGGTTTCTGGTGTGCCAAAGGGACGCAAATCTGCACACCGAATCACGGCGCCTTAGACGACTGGGCCACCCGTGCCCCCAATGCCCCTTTTAGCAGTATTCCAGTTATATCCCAGTGTGTCAAGTTAATGAGGGAGGAAAGCCCAAAGTGAAACCCACGAGCACAGGTACGGTGCTGACAAACCTAGAAACATAATCGGGCCAAACCTGCATGAATCAAAACAAGACAACATACAGAGAAAATTACTGTAAATAATTCCACCTATAACCCTAAAACAGTACACTGAGAAACTGTCTGCATCATCATCATCAGTTAAACACAAGCCTCAACAATAAACATGCAAGAAAACAGCTTCCTTAGCATCTGCTCACATCATTGAGGACGATCATATTGTCCTGCTCCAGGTGTGAGCGTCCATCGAGGCCCGAGTGACGTCCGAACACCTTCAGGGCACTGTCCGTCCAGCCATCCATCTCTTTCCGGATGTGGATCAGCTCGTCCTCATTGGACAGAAGTAGATCTCCCGCAAACACTTCCGCCTCCTTCGACAGATTCTGAAGATAACACAAATGACATCTATGACATTCGTTATGAATAAAATCCAAATGTTACTTTGGTCCATGGCAATTAATTTAAATTTTTTAATGAGCCTAAAAAGTAAAATGTTGAATGTTGTTTTTCAAATTCATGCACTTTGCAATAATGACATAAATTTGTAATTTTGTTAAAACTTTAATTAATTAATTAAATTATTTAAATCAACCCTGAAACATTGTAATAATTGTCATCTCCCTCTTTGCACGTTGTGAGGAATGATCCGTTCTACAAGGAAATGAACTGCTCTGGTTATGAAATTTTAGAAAATTCGTTAAAACTTAAACTGAAAACATATACTTTGGTTGTTCCTATAAAAGATATAAGGATGGATTGATCATATACTGTAAACCAAGAATTTGATGCAAGCATGAAATTAATGTGAAAAATGCGAGTGTCTCCTGCATGCATGAAGAAAGTGACAAAGTTTTTATGGACATATTGAAGTACTGTAAATCTGGAAATTAATGCATCTCCAAATTAATACAACTGCTGACCCCTAGCCGAAAATGGACCACATCCTGTACCACCCCACACCCTGCCCTGGACCACCCCATCCTGGACCACATCACCCTGGACCATCCCATCCTGGACAACCCGACCCTGGACCACATCACCCTGGACAACCCTGTCCTGGACCACCCAAACCTGGACCACCCGCCCTGAACCACCCCGCCCTGGATCAGCATGCCATAGACCACCCCACCCTGGACCAGCCAATCGTAGACCCCCCACCTGGAGTGAGTGAGTTGGGTTTAACACCACTTTTAACAGTATTCCAGTTATATCGCAGTGTTTCAGCTTAATGTGGGTGGAAAGCCCGAAGTGAGGCAGGTCTCAGACGTTTACCAGTTCGGTGAAACCCACAAGCATGGGTATGGTGCTGACAAACCTAGAAACATTATCGGGGCGAACTGGGATTCGAACCCACAATCATAGGTTTCTGGCATGCCCAAGGGACGCAACTCTGCACAGTGAATCGCAGGGCCTTAGACGACTGAGCCACCCATGCCACCACCTGGACGAGATCCATGCCCTGAAAAGGCTTCGATGGAGGTATTATGTTTTTATCAATGACACCCTAATAGTTGACAACACTTCTGGACACCTCAGTCAACTGCACCACCGCCCCTGCCCTGCTTGTGACATGAAAGCCTCTAGTTAATGTGGGAAAAAACAAAACTGTAACACAATTTGTGAAACGTGCATGCTCTGTGACTTTCTTGATGCAATAGTGAAGCACATACAGCTATTGTGAAAATATCATACTGCTCAACTTTTGTTGGGGGAATCAGACAAATACTCTCAAATCCTTTTTGAATTTGCACTCATTGTGGCAGGCATGTTTGACGTTGGATAAAAATATTTTCCTTCAGTTTTGAAAGATACCTCACACACCTCTAAAACTAGGTTCTATCTTTGTTTAAAACATCCTCAAAGACTTCAGAAAGAAAAACATTGAAATCCTTGAACCATTGTGAAAAGTCAAGTCCGACGAACCAGTGATCGACGTTATGACCATGTACAACTCTATCCTGGTACAGTGACTTGCAATCAAAAACGACCGAGCCACCATTCCAGTCTCTACAAACCTAAACAACCGAAATTGTACAGCTGTAGCAGGGGGCGTAGAGTCATCCCACAGATGACATCCTTACCTTGTCAGTGGAGCAGGGTGTGGAGTCATCCCACAGATGACATCCTTACCTTGTCAGCTTGCTGACGGGGTTAACCTCTTTGGTCATGTGGACAAGGTGTCCGACCTCTGATCAGAAGGTCCGTGGTTTGAATCCTATCACGGGACTCGGAAATTTTATGGCTGCTACATTGGCGCCCAATGTGGGGCTGAGCACGTTCATATTAAATTTGAGCAAAATAAGCCTTAGTACCCTTCTGTTGACGGGGGAGTATGTAGCAGGGTGTGGAGTCGTCCCACAGATGACATCCTTACCTGATCAGCTTGCTGACAGGGTTAACCTCTTTGGTCATGTGGACAAGGTGTCCGACCTCGGATCAGAAGGTCCGTGGTTCGAATCCTATCACGGGACTCGGAAATTTAATGGCCGCTACACAGCAACACCAACACACAAAGGAAGGTGTCTCAGTGGGTATGATGTTTGGTGTATTCTATCTCATATTACCTATGACTGTGATGATCTTCATTTTGTGGGAAAGGTAAGATGATTATAGCTGTGAGTTATTTTGTCGAACTGTCAGAACATTGAAAAGATGTTACTGACAGAAGGAAATGCCTATTTCATCCAGAACCAACTTCATCCACCCAGACTTAGGAAATAAAAAAAATCATCTGACATCAAACAGAATCGTGGAGTTGTGTTTGCAAAGGTCAAGGGCAAGTTTTGAGAGTATGTCCTTGACCCCTTCAGATAATGACCTCTGTGGAATCTGTTCAGCAAGGTGAAGGACAGTTTATCCACAAGGACACATATTAACTTAACAAACGTTGAGCAGTGTAAAGGCAAACGGTTTACAAACTCTGTTTTATCCTTTGGAGGCAATGGTTGGAAAGAAATGCACACAAAATTACAAACATGTACACTGATGTATGCAGATTTACCATCATTCTACTGTTTTCACTGTATAGACAATGGGAATTCTATCTGGCTGTAATATAGTGAACACAAACAATAGTTGTTCTAAACATCATCATCATCATCACCACTACCATCATCATCACCACTACCATCATCATCATCATCATCATCATCACCATCACCACCACTACCATCATCATCATCATCATCATCATCATCATCATCATCATCACCATCATTACCTCCTCCCAGGCCTGGATGTCGTCTCGGAGACTGATCATCTTATCCTTGTCGGGGATCTTCACCATGTTACCCTCCGCGTTGCTGAAATGACAACACAACACCTTATTACAGGAATGTTATAATGAACTAATTCATACTATACAAGTTAATTGTTTGTGCCCTGTTACAGACAGGGATCTTATTAGTAAGACAGCCATAACTCCAATACTTTGACTATGGTCCTACTCACAAGCAGTTCTTCTGGAAGTCCAGCACCCAGTGCTCAACTCCTGCCCTGATGCCCCGGAGGTGCTCTCTCATCTCCTCCTCCCGCTGCTTCAGGGCGATGTTGAAATCCTCAATCTGGTCCCGCCACACTTCCACATGGCCCTGAATCTCGGTCAGCTGCTCTGTGTCCTTGTCGCTCAGTAGCACGGTAAAGTGGTTGGCCAGCTTGGCCCAGGCCTTCTCGCTGACATGCATCCGTTTGGCCGTCGTCAATCTGCATTCCTCTGTCACCTGATTGAAGAAAACATTTTTAGTGTTTGTTGTTTTATGCTACAGTCAACAATACTCAAATTATATCACAGGAGCCTGTAAATATGAGAGTCAGGTATAGACAAATCAATGTATATTATTATGAGCAGGGTGAGAAGATACACAATAAAGCCAGTCATTTCATCTGACTGAGTCAGGGAGGGAGTCTACTGACCGCGAGGGTGAGGCTGTATGACTACAGGGAGTGTACTGACCTCGAGGGCAAGGCTGTATGACTACAGGGAGTGTACTGACCGCGAGGGTGAGGCTGTATGACTACAGGGAGACAACTGACCTCGAGGGCGAGGCTGTATGACTACAGGGAGACTACTGACCTCGAGGGCGAGGCTCTATGACTACAGGGAGACTACTGACCTCGAGGACGAGGCTGTATGACTACAGGGAGTGTACTGACCTCGAGGACGAGGCTGTATGACTACAGGGAGTGTACTGACCTGGAGGGCGAGGCTGTATGACTACAGGGAGTGTACTGACCTCGAGGGAGAGGCTGTATGATTACAGGAAGTCTAGTGACCTCGAGGGCAAGGCTGTACGACTACAGGAAGTCTAGTGACCTCGAGGGCAAGGCTGTACGACTACAGGGAGTCTATAACCTTGAGGGCGAGGCTGTATGACTACAGGGAGTGTACTGACCTCGAGGGAGAGGCTGTATGATTACAGGAAGTCTAGTGACCTCGAGGGCAAGGCTGTACGACTACAGGAAGTCTAGTGACCTCGAGGGCAAGGCTGTACGACTACAGGGAGTCTATAACCTTGAGGGCGAGGCTGTATGACTACAGGGAGACTACTGACCTTCAGGGCGAGACTGTATGCAGCCGTGCTCCACAGCTCCCTCTCATCAGACAACATGAACACTTGGCGTTCCAAGCGCCGGCGCTGCAGCTCATACAAGTCGTGGTACTCTGCCAGCAGACTGGCGTTCTTCTGTGCATCACCAAGAGCTGTCTTCAGCTGCAGGACATTCACAGCATCACATCAGTGAGGAGAAAAACAGGCTCAATTCCTTACATTCATTCAAAAACAAAAATCACATTTTTCTGTTTTCAAGCCATGAATAATTCCTACCCAGTCTGTGGTCTTACATATTCTCAAGAAGTGTCAGTTCCCATGACCCTTTGAACATGGAAAAAGGACTGGAAACTCCAGACCTTATTTCTCAATATCCAACATCTAGTGACAATACATGTGCACATGCGAACCTCCAATAGGATAATACTACACACTGCAAAAAAAGGCATATCTAGGAAACACAACAATAGGCCTTGAAACATTACATTTAAGGAGCCACTACCTTGTAGTGAATACAAGTTTGGCGCCACTGGCTTATAGGGAATACATGTTAGGAGCCACTGGCTTGTAGGGAATACATGTTAGGAGCCACTGGCTTATAGGGAAAACATGTTAGGAGCCACTGGCTTGTAGGAATACATGTTAGGAGCCACTGGCTTGTAGGGAATACATGTTAGGAGCCACTGGCTTGTAGGGAAAACATATTAGGAGCCACTGGCTTGTAGGGAATACATGTTAGGAGCCACTGGCTTGTAGGGAAAACATGTTAGGAGCCACTGGCTTATAGGGAAAACATGTTAGGAGCCACTGGCTTATAGGGAAAACATGTTAGGAGCCACTGGCTTATAGGGAAAACATATTAGGAGCCACTGGCTTGTAGGGAATACATGTTAGGAGCCACTGGCTTGTAGGGAAAACATGTTAGGAGCCACTGGCTTGTAGGGAAAACATGTTAGGAGCCACTGGCTTGTAGGGAAAACATGTTAGGAGCCACTGGCTTGTAGGGAAAACATATTAGGAGCCATTGGCTTATAGGGAATACATATTAGGAGCCACTGGCTTGTAGGGAAAACATGTTAGGAGCCACTGGCTTGTAGGGAAAACATGTTAGGAGCCACTGGCTTATAGGGAAAACATGTTAGGAGCCACTGGCTTATAGGGAATACATATTAGGAGCCACTGGCTTGTAGGGAATACATGTTAGGAGCCATTGGCTTGTAGGGAATTCATATTAGGAGCCACTGGCTTGTAGGGAAAACATGTTAGGAGCCACTGGCTTATAGGGAATACATATTAGGAGCCACTGGCTTGTAGGGAAAACATGTTAGGAGCCACTGGCTTATAGGGAAAACATGTTAGGAGCCACTGGCTTATAGGGAATACATATTAGGAGCCACTGGCTTGTAGGGAAAACATGTTAGGAGCCACTGGCTTGTAGGGAATACATGTTAGGAGCCACTGGCTTATAGGGAATACATGTTAGGAGCCACTGGCTTGTAGGGAATACATATTAGGAGCCACTGGCTTGTAGGGAATACATATTAGGAGCCACTGGCTTATAGGGAAAACATGTTAGGAGCCACTGGCTTATAGGGAATACATATTAGGAGCCACTGGCTTGTAGGGAAAACATGTTAGGAGCCACTGGCTTGTAGGGAATACATGTTAGGAGCCACTGGCTTATAGGGAATACATGTTAGGAGCCACTGGCTTGTAGGGAATACATATTAGGAGCCACTGGCTTGTAGGGAATACATATTAGGAGCCACTGGCTTGTAGGGAATACATGTTAGGAGCCACTGGCTTATAGGGAATACATGTTAGGAGCCACTGGCTTGTAGGGAATACATATTAGGAGCCACTGGCTTGTAGGGAATACATATTAGGAGCCACTGGCTTGTAGGGAATACATGTTAGGAGCCACTGGCTTGTAGGGAATACATGTTAGGAGCCACTTGCTTGTAGGGAATACATATTAGGAGCCACTGGCTTGTAGGGAAAACATGTTAGGAGCCACTGGCTTGTAGGGAAAACATGTTAGGAGCCACTGGCTTGTAGGGAATACATGTCAGGAGCCACTGGCTTATAGGGAATACATGTTAGGAGCCACTGGCTTGTAGGGAATACATGTTAGGAGCCACTTGCTTGTAGGGAAAACATGTTAGGAGCCACTTGCTTGTAGGGAATACATATTAGGAGCCACTGGCTTATAGGGAATACATGTTAGGAGCCACTGGCTTGTAGGGAATACATATTAGGAGCCACTGGCTTATAGGGAATACATGTTAGGAGCCACTTGCTTGTAGGGAAAACATGTTAGGAGCCACTGGCTTGTAGGGAATACATATTAGGAGCCACTGGCTTATAGGGAAAACATGTTAGGAGCCACTGGCTTATAGGGAAAACATGTTAGGAGCCACTGGCTTGTAGGGAATACATATTAGGAGCCACTGGCTTATAGGGAATACATGTTAGGAGCCACTGGCTTGTAGGGAATACATGTTAGGAGCCACTTGCTTGTAGGGAAAACATATTAGGAGCCACTGGCTTGTAGGGAAAACATGTTAGGAGCCACTGGCTTGTAGGGAATACATGTCAGGAGCCACTGGCTTGTAGGGAAAACATGTTAGGAGCCATTGGCTTGTAGGGAATACATGTAAGGAGCCACTGGCTTGTAGAGAATACATGTCAGGAGCCACTGGCTTGTAGAGAATACATGTCAGGAGCCACTGGCTTGTAGAGAATACATGTTAGGAGCCACTTGCTTGTAGGGAAAACATGTTAGGAGCCACTGGCTTGTAGGGAAAACATGTTAGGAGCCACTTGCTTGTAGGGAATACATATTAGGAGCCACTGGCTTGTAGGGAATACATGTTAGGAGCCACTGGCTTGTAGGGAATACATGTCAGGAGCCACTGGCTTGTAGGGAAAACATGTTAGGAGCCACTGGCTTGTAGGGAATACATGTTAGGAGCCACTGCCTTGTAGGGAAAACATATTAGGAGCCACTGGCTTGTAGGGAAAACATGTTAGGAGCCACTGCCTTGTAGGGAAAACATGTTAGGAGCCATTGGCTTGTAGGGAAAACATGTTAGGAGCCACTGGCTTGTAGGGAAAACATATTAGGAGCCACTGGCTTGTAGGGAATACATGTTATGAGCCACTGCCTTGTAGGGAAAACATGTTAGGAGCCACTGGCTTGTAGGGAAAACATGTTAGGAGCCACTGGCTTGTAGGGAAAACATGTTAGGAGCCACTGGCTTGTAGGGAAAACATATTAGGAGCCACTGGCTTGTAGGGAATACATGTTAGGAGCCACTGCCTTGTAGGGAAAACATGTTAGGAGCCACTGCCTTGTAGGGAAAACATGTTAGGAGCCACTGGCTTGTAGGGAAAACATATTAGGAGCCACTGGCTTGTAGGGAATACATGTTAGGAACAATTGGCTTGTAGAGAATACATGTCAGGAGCCACTGGCTTGTAGGGAAGGAAGCATGTTACAGAGACTCACATCTTCCTGAGCTTTCTGTGCCTCCCTGGTCACTCTCTGGTCGTGCTCCTTGACGTCGGTCAGCTCACTGAAACACAACACAACTCACACTAAACCCATCAATATATTGTCAAGGTAAAGGCGAGGTTTTTATCAGTTTTACAAGTTTTACAGATCACAGGGCAAAAGCAAAAAACCCACAATCAGTTGCTTGACAACAGTATAAGGTTCTATACGGAAACACGCCTCCACAGTAAATAGAGAAGTTGTGAGCCATAAATTGATTCTACTTTGTCACCCGTCAACGTCTAAGAAATGCAAAGCAAACAATTCAGAAATATGTTGAATTTACTTTTATTTGCCCTCCAAAATATCTCTATGGGATTTATAAAAAAATACAACCAAAAACATACACAACTACAAAAATCTTGATCAAATGCAAGGTAAAGTCTCAGGCCTTCTCTGACAGAATATATTTGTTACTTTGAAAATAGTCACCATCTTTCACTGGAACCCAAATTAGTATTTATTTTTCCCGCTGAGCTACCCAATGATGATAAGAAGAAAGGAAACATTGACTCACTTTGTTAGGACACTGATGGTAGATTTGAACCTCATGAGTTCCTCGGTGAGCCGCCTGTCCAGTGCCCGCTGTGCCATCACCTCCTCATGAAGACTGTAGAAACACAGGAACACATTGTCATGAACACATTGTCATGAACACATTATCATAAACACATTGTTCTGAACACATTATCATGAACACATTGTCATGAACACATTATCATAAACACATTTTTCCGAACACATTATCATGAACACATTGTCATGAACACATTATCATAAACACATTGTTCTGAACACATTATCATGAACACATTGTCATGAACACATTATCATAAACACATTTTTCCGAACACATTATCATGAACACATTGTCATGAACACATTATCATAAACACATTGTTCCGAACACATTATCATGTACACATTGTCATGAACACATTGTCATGAACACATTATCATGAACACATTGTTGTGACCATATTGTCATGTACACATTGTTGTGACCACATTGTCATAAACACATTGTCATGAACACATCATGAACACATTGTCATGAACACATTGTTGTGACCACATTGTCATAAACACATTGTCATGTACACATTTTTGTGACCACATTGTCATGAACACATTGTCACGTACACATTGTTGTGACCACATTGTCATAAACATATTGTTATGAACACATCATAATGAACACATTGTCATGAACACATTGTCATAAACACATTGTCATGAACATTGTCATGACAACATTGTCATGTACACATTGTTGTGACCACATTGTCATAAACACATTGTCATGAACATATCATCATGAACACTTTGTCATGAACACATTGTTGTGACCACATTGTTGTGACCACATTGTCATAAACACATGGTTTTGAACACATCATCATGAACACATTGTCATGAACACATTGTCATAAACACATTGTCATGAACATTGTCATGACCACATTGTCATAAACACATTGTCATGTACACATTGTTATGACCACATTGTCATAAACACATTGTCATGAACACATTGTCATTAACACATTGTCATAAACACATTGTTTACAACACACTCAACAATAGAATATCTTTCCACATTTCTCTTTAAATAAGAAAAAGGCCAATTATTTTCTGAACATATCAAACAATAATTGCCATTTCCCTTCAAATCTTTTCACTTTGCTCAGTGCATCCTACAAACAAATAAAGCCCCACAAAAACCAGCTTGGGTTACCATCAGGAAAAGCTAATAACAAGCATTCTACACTGCATCCAGGGGACGACATAAAGAAGCTGTTGCTGTGAACTGACTGACCTCTTGATCTGCTGTGGCACTTTGTTGAGGAGGGCGCTGTACTTATCTCTCAGCATCGCCAGCAACTCCCCTCTCTCCACACACTCCACGCTCACCTGGACACAGATATAACTCAGTAGGCAACATCGAACATGTCACTTCTGTCACAGATCCACCCTCACTTAGCCTCTGTTCCCAAACGTCTAAACATTCTTGTAACAAGCAATAACCACATCAAGCAGCTTTTTATCCAAACATTGACAGTGACATTGACATTTCGACTACAATATAGTTGTCCTGCTCACTCCTGCAAAGACTTCACCTTAGAGAATTCAGAAAGCTAAGTATTCCCTCCACCCCCTAAAGCAATATTCCATCTTATGACGGCAGTCTGAAAAATAATCGAGTCTGGACCAGACAATCCATGATTGACATCATGAGCATCGATCCACTCAATTGAGATATAATGACATGCATCAACCAAATCAGCGAGCCTGACCACCGGATCCTGTTAGTTACCTAACGACAAGCATAGTCACCTTTTATGGCAAGCATGGGTTGCTCAAGACATATTCTACCCCGGATCTTCATGGGTAAAAAAAGTTCATGAAACAGGTGGCTGTGTATTATACCTAAAGAAACATAGCAATAGGCACACTGCAGTAATAAATTTAGCAATTAAATTGAGAAATTTATTTTGATTTTTTTCTCATGCAAATATGTTACAGATATGACTTTGATTATACATAAACTGTAACCTGAGACTCTTGGCATTATTACAATATCAAGAGTATACATGCTTACCTTGTACAGTCACAATTTTGGGGTCTCTGAATTTGTGAGTGAAAGTTGTTTTATGTCATAGTCATCAATATAACAGCTACTGAAGCTGTAACATGCTGTTACAATCTTGCCCGCAATATCTCAGTGCTATACATCAGTGGCCACACAGGGACCTCCAATCTCCTAAATACCGTCTGCTTGTATTTCTTTCTTAACAAACCACCATGGGTAAAAAGATTTTACGGCATACTCCACAATATTCCAGCTATTCTTGTCTGGACCAGACAATCCAGTGATTGATATTATGATATATTATTCCATCAGAGAACGATGACATCCAATCAACCGAGTCACCGAGCCTGACCACCGAATCCAGTAAATTGCCTCTAAAGACAAGCATAGGTTGCTGGGGCTGACTTCTAGCCTGGGGCCTGGGGCAGCTGTGTCCAAAGACGGTATCTCGATAAACTGATATCAGCCAGAATACATAACCCTGCCACTAGTGAGGTTGGATGAAATGGGGTTTAACAACGTGTCCAAGATTATTGCACATATATAGCGATGTGCATGTACGTGTGTGTGTGTGGCTGCTTGTGCCAGTCCGGAATGATGCTGATTGATAGTGCTAGCTCACTGAGATACCATGCCGCAGTTTAACATGAATACCCCACTCAGACACAGTATACTGACACTGAGTCGACCAGTCCTTGTTTTAGCCCCTTAACGCCGATCCCTGCCACTGAATTTTATAAATAACACCAGTGTCTGAAGCAGGGAAAGCAGCCCTTGGTAGGTGAGTGGAATGGTTGATGGATGTATGTTGGAACCCAGCAAATACAGGGTAGTGAGAGAGAAATAGTGGACACACCTGTCTGATCAGCTCATGGAAGATTATGTTGTAAACATTTTGCTCTTTCTTGATCAGTTCCAACAGATTGTGCATCTGAAATATTCACACACATTGTTGTTAAGAACAGGCTTCAATATACTGTTGTGTTTATGGCATACATTTAAAAACTGATGTTCACACTGTGTAAAGTTGTATAGGGAATTTGCGCAAAGTCTGCACATTGTGTTTTTCGTTGATACTTCATACACACAAATATATTGATGTCAGTTCTTATAGATAAGTCAAAAATAATAAAGTCACAGACTGCTTATTTAATGAGCAACAAAAAAACTGAAGACAATGATACGAAATCAGCGCCATCGTCCAGCGCAATAATGCAATACAATCTCCGGCAACCCTTTTATCAGTACCCTTAAAGTATGGCAGTTACCGCCACCTTAGCACTAAGATATTGTGGAACGGGGTCTAGATCACTAAACGATGGTCACTACCAGTGATGGAATAGCTCACCCTACCTGTAAATATCCCTGTACACGGGCCTCAGGCACTGGTACTACAGTTTCCCTTGCTATTGCGCCCTTCAATATAGCGCTAACTCAGTCATAGTGCGCAATAACGCATGGCTCCCAAAATATACTTACAATTTTAATAAACTCAAGTTTTACACTGACATGATGTTTTCACAATCTCACAAAATTTATCAGCTGATCACTTTGAGCTTGTAACATCGGAAATACCAGTCAAAAAATCTGAACCGAAGTACGCATTCAATCCCATTATTCTACTATCTGGTTTAACGTATTCATAGTATATATAAACTTACATTTGCAAAATGTTTATTAATTATTTATTAAAAATTTCATTTAATATTGTTTACAATAATTTCAGCGAAATCATGTGTGAAGTGATCGATAGATTATTTACAGCAACCATGGTCAGATTTACCGCTATTAATGCCTTGAAACAAACTTTAATTGACAGAGAATGGATACATATATATCATAAATGCCATACTTTGACTCGTTAAAAGTCATATTTGCAGCAATTTGACTGTTATATATCAACATGACGTTTCACAATCGAAATACATGGCGCGGAAGGCCCTACGATGACTGGTCAAAATGTACCATACATAAAAATATCCAGCAATAGCAATCACTGTACCAAAGTGCTGTGCTTCGGTTGTTATGATTCTACATATACAAAGTAAAAGCTGCAACTAAAGTAACAGGATATTGGAATATAGTAGCATGCTGCCTGTGTGTGTGACTCACCTGTGTTGGTCCCTTGACGACAACATCGTTGTCCGCTACACCGGCCTTCTCCAACATGTCCTCCAGGGAACGCTTCAGCTGCAGGACCTCGTACCTGCTGGCCGGCTTCCTGCACACAACATACCGTGAGTGAGTGAGTGAGTGAGTGAGTGAGTGAGTGAGCTGGAGGACCTCGTACCTGCTGGCCGGCTTCCTGCACACAACATACAGTGAGTGAGTGAGTGAGTGAGTGAGTGAGTGAGCTGGAGGACCTCGTACCTGCTGGCCGGCTTCCTGCACACAACATACAGTGAGTGAGTGAGTGAGTGAGTGAGTGAGTGAGTGAGTGAGTGAGTGAGTGAGTGAGCTGGAGGACCTCGTACCTGCTGGCCGGCTTCCTGCACACAACATACCGTGAGTGAGTGAGTGAGTGAGTGAGTGAGTGAGCTGGAGGACCTCGTACCTGCTGGCCGGCTTCCTGCACACAACGTACCGTGAGTGAGTGAGTGAGTGAGTGAGTGAGTTTAGTGAGTGAGTGAGTGGTGGGTGTGAGTGGGTGTGGAGTGAGTGAGTGAGTGAGTGAGCTGGAGGACCTCGTACCTGCTGGCCGGCTTCCTGCACACAACGTACCGTGAGTGAGTGAGTGAGTGAGTGAGTGAGTGAGTGAGTGAGTGAGTGAGTGAGCTGGAGGACCTCGTACCTGCTGGCCGGCTTCCTGCACACAACGTACCGTGAGTGAGTGAGTGAGTGAGTGAGTGAGTGAGTGAGTGAGTGAGTGAGCTGGAGGACCTCGTACCTGCTGGCCGGCTTCCTGCACACAACGTACAGTCAGTGAGTGAGTGAGTGAGTGAGTGAGTGAGTGAGTGAGTGAGTGAGCTGGAGGACCTCGTACCTGCTGGCCGGCTTCCTGCACACAACGTACAGTCAGTGAGTGAGTGAGTGAGTGAGTGAGTGAGTGAGTCAGTGAGTGAGTGAGTCAGTGAGTGAGTGAGTGAGTGAGCTGGAGGACCTCGTACCTGCTGGCCGGCTTCCTGCACACAACATACAGTCAGTGAGTGAGTGAGTGAGTGAGTGAGTGAGTGAGCTGGAGGACCTCGTACCTGCTGGCCGGCTTCCTGCACACAACGTACAGTGAGTGAGTGAGTGAGTGAGTGAGTGAGTGAGTGAGCTGGAGGACCTCGTACCTGCTGGCCGGCTTCCTGCACACAACGTACAGTGAGTGAGTGAGTGAGTGAGTGAGTGAGTGAGTGAGTGAGTGAGCTGGAGGACCTCGTACCTGCTGGCCGGCTTCCTGCACACAACATACAGTGAGTGAGTGAGTGAGTGAGTGAGTGAGTGAGTGAGCTGGAGGACCTCGTACCTGCTGGCCGGCTTCCTGCACACAACATACAGTCAGTCAGTGAGTGAGTGAGTGAGTGAGTGAGTGAGTGAGTGAGTGAGTGAGTGAGTGAGTGAGCTGGAGGACCTCGTACCTGCTGGCCGGCTTCCTGCACACAACGTACAGTCAGTGAGTGAGTGAGTGAGTGAGTGAGTGAGTGAGTGAGTGAGTGAGCTGGAGGACCTCGTACCTGCTGGCCGGCTTCCTGCACACAACATACCGTGAGTGAGTGAGTGAGTGAGTGAGTGAGCTGGAGGACCTCGTACCTGCTGGCCGGCTTCCTGCACACAACATACAGTGAGTGAGTGAGTGAGTGAGTGAGCTGGAGGACCTCGTACCTGCTGGCCGGCTTCCTGCACACAACATACCGTGAGTGAGTGAGTGAGTGAGTGAGTGAGTGAGTGAGTGAGTGAGTGAGCTGGAGGACCTCGTACCTGCTGGCCGGCTTCCTGCACACAACATACCGTGAGTGAGTGAGTGAGTGAGTGAGCTGGAGGACCTCGTACCTGCTGGCCGGCTTCCTGCACACAACATACCGTGAGTGAGTGAGTGAGTGAGTGAGTGAGTGAGTGAGTGAGTGAGTGAGTGAGTGAGTGAGTGAGTGAGTGAGTGAGTGAGCTGGAGGACCTCGTACCTGCTGGCCGGCTTCCTGCACACAACATACAGTGAGTGAGTGAGTGAGTGAGTGAGTGAGTGAGTGAGTGAGTGAGTGAGTGAGCTGGAGGACCTCGTACCTGCTGGCCGGCTTCCTGCACACAACATACCGTGAGTGAGTGAGTGAGTGAGTGAGTGAGCTGGAGGACCTCGTACCTGCTGGCCGGCTTCCTGCACACAACATACAGTCAGTGAGTGAGTGAGTGAGTGAGCTGGAGGACCTCGTACCTGCTGGCCGGCTTCCTGCACACAACATACCGTGAGTGAGTGAGTGAGTGAGTGAGTGAGTGAGTGAGTGAGTGAGTGAGTGAGTGAGTGAGTGAGTGAGTGAGTGAGTGAGTGAGCTGGAGGACCTCGTACCTGCTGGCCGGCTTCCTGCACACAACATACCGTGAGTGAGTGAGTGAGTGAGTGAGCTGGAGGACCTCGTACCTGCTGGCCGGCTTCCTGCACACAACATACCGTGAGTGAGTGAGTGAGTGAGTGAGTGAGTGAGTGAGTGAGTGAGTGAGTGAGTGAGTGAGTGAGTGAGCTGGAGGACCTCGTACCTGCTGGCCGGCTTCCTGCACACAACATACAGTGAGTGAGTGAGTGAGTGAGTGAGTGAGTGAGTGAGTGAGTGAGTGAGCTGGAGGACCTCGTACCTGCTGGCCGGCTTCCTGCACACAACATACAGTGAGTGAGTGAGTGAGTGAGTGAGTGAGTGAGCTGGAGGACCTCGTACCTGCTGGCCCGCTTCCTGCACACAACATACCGTGAGTGAGTGAGTGAGTGAGTGAGTGAGTGAGCTGGAGGACCTCGTACCTGCTGGCCGGCTTCCTGCACACAACATACCGTGAGTGAGTGAGTGAGTGAGTGAGTGAGTGAGTGAGCTGGAGGACCTCGTACCTGCTGGCCGGCTTCCTGCACACAACATACCGTGAATGAGTGAGTGAGTGAGTGAGTGAGTGAGTGAGTGAGCTGGAGGACCTCGTACCTGCTGGCCGGCTTCCTGCACACAACATACAGTGAGTGAGTGAGTGAGTGAGTGAGTGAGTGAGTGAGTGAGTGAGTGAGTGAGCTGGAGGACCTCGTACCTGCTGGCCGGCTTCCTGCACACAACATACAGTGAGTGAGTGAGTGAGTGAGTGAGTGAGTGAGTGAGTGAGTGAGTGAGTGAGTGAGTTTAGTGAGTGAGTGAGTGGTGGGTGTGAGTGGGTGTGGAGTGAGTGAGTGAGTGAGTGAGCGAGTGTGTGGTGGGTGTAAGTGGGTGAGTTTAGTGAGTGAGTGAGTGGTGGGTGTGAGTGGGTGTGGAGTGAGTGAGTGAGTGAGTGAGTGAGTGAGTGTGTGAGCGAGTGTGTGGTGGGTGTAAGTGGGTGAGTGAGTGAGTGAGTGAGTGAGTGTGTGAGCGAGTGTGTGCTGGGTGTAAGTGGGTGAGTTTAGTGAGTGAGTGAGTGAGTGAGTGAGTGAGTGAGTGGTGGGTGTAAGTGGGTGAGTTTAGTGAGTGAGTGAGTGGTGGGTGTGAGTGGGTGTGGAGTGAGTGAGTGAGTGAGTGAGCGAGTGTGTGGTGGGTGTAAGTGGGTGAGTTTAGTGAGTGAGTGAGTGGTGGGTGTGAGTGGGTGTGGAGTGAGTGAGTGAGTGAGTGAGTGAGTGAGCGAGTGTGTGGTGGGTGTAAGTGGGTGAGGAGTGAGTGAGTGAGTGAGTGAGTGAGTGAGTGAGTGAGTGAGTGAGGTTAATGTGGGAGGTATGGTGCCAAAGTTGATGCAGGTCTTGTAAGTCTAGATTAGAACAGCCGACCTCTTTGGAAACTCCAGTCCTTTAATATAGACTTACGTCAGACATAGTGATAAGACCCCTTTGTACAATGGCCAGGCTCGCTGACTTGGTTGATGCTTGTCATCGATCCCAACTGTGTGGATCGATGCTCATGTAATTAATCCCTGGACAACATGACCTTCACTCTGGACGACTCCCAATGGTTGACCAATCCAACCTGTCTCACCAACATGACACGGACAGCTAATGTGGCTCGTGTGTTTGAGGAAGTGGGTATGTGAGAACCAAAGACTTACAGAGACGGGAACTTGACCAGGTGCTTCTCATGGTCGTCCGGCTGTGTGGAGTATTTACTGGAAACCAACATGCATAAATAAACATCAACATCAACACTAGTTGCATATAAATTACCTGAGGCCTTTCAAAAAGGTGATTTACAGATTTTTGTTCCTAAACATATGTTGGTGGTCAAAATATTAAAAAATTAAAATTTCTTTTTGTCTTTTGTGTAAACAGTCATGTTTAATATTTTTTACAATTCACTGTCATGGGACAGGCATGAAAACACCTTGTGATATATTTCATTACTGAATGGGGTTTCAGACTCGGCAGTAATAAAAAAAAGTCTAAATTGGGAATTGTAGTTTTGTCTACTTTCTTGAATTTTACGCTTGGTGGATCTGTAAACCAAATAATAGTAAGCCAGAAATGAAACCTGGGTGTTGATCACAGCTACCCAACTGACCACTAGGTGACCCCACCAGGTGAAACACACCTTGCCGTTATTATAAGTATCAGTGTAGGCCAGTATAAAGTAATCAGTACATTATCACCTCATTCGGATTGCCTTGTGTCATGGCTCAAATCTGAGATACCGGGTCACATTCTTTCTTTGAAATAAGAATGGAAACAGAACGCCTCCTTCCTCACATTATGGGAAAGAAGATGTGTAACAATTACTTCCTACTGGTCTTATTGACAGGAATGATGTTGTTTTGTGTCCTTACTCTTCATGGTATTCAATCCCCAGGACGCCCTTGTTCTTGACGATGTGGTACTCGTCTGGCAGCAGGGTGTCTGGGAGCTGGAGGGCCTGCAACATTGACCACTGGATATTGTTGGGACATTGACCACTGGATATTGTTGGGACTATGACCAGCGGATATTGTTGGGACATTGACCACCGGTTATTGGTTGGACGTTGACCACCGGTTATTGTTAGGACTTTGACCACCGGTTATTGTTGGGATATTGACCACCAGTTATTGCTGGGACGTTGACCACTGGTTATTGTTGGGACATTGAACATTGGTTATTGCTGGGACATTGAACATTGGTTATTGCTGGGACATTGAACCTTAGTAATTGCTGGGACATTGAACCTTGGTTATTGCTGGGATATTGAATATTGGTTATTACTGGGACATTGACCACTGGTTATTGCTGGGACATTGACCACTGGTTATTGTTGGGATGTTGACCACTGGTTATTGTTGGGACGTTGACCACTGGTTATTGTTGGGACATTGACCACCGGTTATTGCTGGGACATTGAACACTGGTTATTGTTGGGATGTTGACCACTGGTTATTGCTGGGACGTTGAACACTGGTTATTGTTGGGACATTGAACATTGGTTATTGTTGGGACATTGAACACTGGTTATTGTTGGGACATTGAACACTGGTTATTGTTGGGACATTGAACACTGGTTATTGCTGGGACATTGAACATTGGTTATTGCTGGGACATTGAACCTTGGTAATTGCTGGGACATTGAACCTTGGTTATTGCTGGGATATTGAACATTGGTTATTGCTGGGACATTGAACATTGGTTATTGCTGGGACATTGAACCTTGGTTATTGCTGGGATATTGAACATTGGTTATTACTGGGACATTAAACATTGGTTATTGCTGGGACATCAGCTCTATCACACATCATCAGCTCTAACTCACATCATCAGCTCTAACTCACATCAGCTCTATCACACATCATCAGCTTTAACCCACATCATCAGCTCTATCACCATCATCAGCTCTAACTCACATCATCAGCTCATACTCACATCATCAGCTCTAACTCACATCATCAGCTCTAACTCACATCATCAGCTCTAACTCACATCAGCTCTCACACATATCATCAGCTTTAACCCAGATCATCAGCTCTAACTCACATCATCAGCTCTGACACAAATCATCAGCTCTATCACACATCATCAGTTTTAACTCACATCATTAGCTCTAACCCACATCATCAGCTCTAACTCACATCATCAGTTCTAACTCACATCATCAGCTCTAACTCACATCATCAGCTCTAACTCACATCATCAGCTCTAACTCACATCATCAGCTCTAACCCACCTGTCTTGGTTTCTCCTCAGTGTCTCTCCTGACAATGCTCTTGTCAATCTTCTCCGGCCGCTCTGCTGTTGCCTTTGTTTGAGGAACGTCGTAGAGGAACGAAATGTCCCTGTGATGAAGAAAAGGATCAGATCATATCACGTATTTTTCTATTTACGGATCCTGTTGTTCTGGTATTTACACTGACACAAGCTAATGAGTCAGCAAATGATTGGTCCCCACTACAGTGAGTGAGGGAGTGAGTGAGGTTTTACACCGCTTTAAGCAATATTCCAACAACATCACGGCAGAGTGACACCAGAAATAGGCTTCACACATTGTACCCATGTCAGGAATCGAACCCAGGTCTTTGGCGAGACGACGAACGCCTTAACCACTAGGCTACCTGACCGCCCCTTCACCACCACAGCCTAAAGTGACATTTGCATTCCTGGATGATGGAACATAGTGGAGTCCACAGTAAAGTGCTGACACTGCATGTTCTGAGTTACCTCCCTGCACCACACGTGCACGCTGTGTTCTCTGTCAGATGCTTGAATCGATCCCGTCGCTGGAAGTGCCACACATTGGCTGGACGCTGTCGGCCTTGAACCTTTGTAATACATGGAAACTATCTCAAACAAAGACGAGGGATAGACGGTGTGACTTGCATTTTGTGCCACAACATGTTGATTCTACTAGCCTGAATTTGCATCTTTGCATCATTTATGCAGATGTTAGTGTTTTTGAATGAGCTTATTATGTTTGTATGTTTGTTGTTTAGCGCAACACGCAGCAATATTCCTTCTATATGATCGTTGTCTGTAAAAACTCAAGTCTGGACCAGACAATCCAATGATTGATATCATGAGCATCGATCTGACGTACGCATTTGGGATCAATGATATGCATCGAACCAGCAATGTAGCGAGCACTGATTTCATTTTAAAGAGATTTTGTTTTACTCATGTCTTCCAAGCACAAGGTGTACTTCTTCTGAACATTCATAACCATCACAAGAATTATTTAGAAATTTGTCTTTTCTGTTTGAAAGCAAAAATTTCTTATTTTGCAACGCACAGAGGTAGTATTTAGATTCCTGTGTCGAGATGGCGGTCCTAGTTTGTCCTTCAACACAGGAGCCTGCGTAAGAGCAAATAGGACGTCTTCCGGGAGGAAGTCACTCTGCAGGGATGTTGGGAGGGGCTTCGTCTTGTCCATTGATGTGCTGGACCTCAGATTGGGCAAGACACCTGTATAAAAGTTGATACAAATAATCAGTACTGATGGACAAGGCAATCAAAACTAGTAAAGAGACAAGATTTGAGAACAAGCAGACATTTAACATCTTTATGTTCATTGAAGCCCACATCATTTTATGTACCAATACTGTGGTATTGCTAATTAATGATGTTAAAAAAAATAATTTTTTTGTTAATGCTGTACTCATCAATATTCCAGATGTATGAAATAAAAAACAAGGCAACCCCGACCTCTTCTCAAAGATATTTTTAATTGCCAGACATGAAAAAAGCAATATTTTTTTAGAAAATCCACTTATTGGAAACAAACTTTGCACTGCACCTCTTCTATTAGTATGGGAACTGTTCCCTAAATTTGAAAAGAATCCATGAAGTAGTTTTCAAGTTACAAGTCGCACAAAGGTTTAAGGAAAACACTTTAAGGTAAATAAACTTAAAAAGCTGTATTTTTTCAGAAAATCAAGATAGTGAAATCAAACTTGGCACTGCACCTCTCCCATTGGTATAGAAAGTGTTCACCAAGTTTGAAAAGAATCTATGCTGTAGTTTTCAAGTTATGGTTTGCACAAAAAAGTCCTTGGAAGGATGGATGGAACGACGGAATTTCCTTGGTATAACTATATAACCCCACCCTTTAAGTCAGGGGTAAACAGTAAAATAATGAAGTCTGGACTAGACAATCCAGTGATTGACATAATGAGCAAATAAAATTAGTAATAATAATGACAATGATGATCTGACCTCAAATACAACATAAGAAGCACTTTCGTCAGATCGTCAGATCTGTCCTGGAACACAGAATACAAAATAAGAATCCTTACTCTGGTTGCTATCTGCAGGCACCATAGTGCCACTTCCTTCCATCCCAGCAGATCGGTCCATCAGTGGAGGGGTCGGCATCGGCAGCTGGGGATCCATAGCAGCTGGCGCCACGGTGGCACTCATTGTCTTACTTTGGAGAGTCCACTGTAGTTAGCTGGCTGAAACCAATATGTAGGAGTTGTCACATGGCAGTTTTCATATCACACCCCGACACCCCATATCAGCCAAATTATAAAATGTGTCTATTTTCAAGTGAATGCAATACACTTTCACCTTGTTTGGAAGACATTGTCATGGGAAAGCTACCCGAGCAGCCGAGAAGACGATGCACTATGGGACATAACTCTAATTTTTTACCACCCGGGCTGATAGCGATCGCCCATTTAAAATGCATTGATAGTCAGATCAGCCTGTTGGTGAGGTGAGGTGAAATAGGGTTTAACGTCGCGTCCATGATTATTGCACTTATATAGCGACGTGCATGTACGGGTGTGGGTTTGTGTGGCTGCTTGTACTCGTCCGGACTGATGCCGATTTATAGTGCTAGCTCACTGAGATACCATGCCACAGTTTAACATGAATACCCCACTCAGACACAGTATACTGACTCCGAGCCGACCAGTCCTTGTTTTAGCCCCTTTATGCCGAGCGCCAGACAGGGTAACAACAAGTACAATCTTTTAACGTCTTCTGGTAAGACGCGGCCGGGGATCGAACCCTGGACCTTCCGCTCTCCGGGCTGACACTCTACCACTTATTACATACTTATTGATTGGTGCACTGTTTATGTGGTTCTAGTTTTGACCAGGTGCTTCCCTGATGAAGGAATCCTGCACACTTGAAACAAGGTGACATAATTAGGTCATAAATCATATATCTACACGGTTCCATTTTTAATGAATGTAAGACTTGCCATTTAAATGACCAACATCAACACATTATTTCCAACTTCATTTCACATTTACCCCAAAAGGATACATTGCCTCGATTCCTACGTTTGATGAACGTATTGGGAATTCCTAGAATCACTGCTCGTCGGTAGCAGGTGACAAAAATTAATGTGTGTGAATTATGTCATTATTATTCTCGCACCTAACCTTGAATGTAGGGTAGCGCAAGCATGAAACAAAATATGAAGTATGATAACATTATCCTTTATGTTCACTGTTCTCCCTGCAGTGTTTTATTATATGATAACAACTCCCACTTGTTTTTTATTTCTTAATTACAGACTCATTTCTTCCATGACATTATCTAGAGTGAAAACAGTAGAAATAAAATAAGTGAACACAATACCCTATCAAACGTTGTTATTATTGTAACACTGGCACTCAAGTAAAGACTGCCTGACAGTTGCTATGACTAGACGTAATCACTTTATAAGTAAACATGCAATAACTGGAGATTAGGCAGTGCGCAATAAAGATAATGCGCAAAAGTGGACAGCTTGAGGATACATGGATCGAAAAGTAATCAATATCATATCATGATAATGGCTAAGTCTTAGACCAAGGACCAATTGACTACAAAATATTCTGTAGACGACAGTACACACTAACATTCCCCATTTCATGTTGCATTTGTCTTTGTTTTCACTTATCTTACATAACTGTTGCAATCATTATTAGCCCATTATCATGAATTTTAAAAAATCAATTTGAATATCAGAATTAAAGCTTTACGTGATTTGTTTGTTGCTAATGCCACAATAAGCAATATTCCACCTATTTGACAGTGGCCTGTAAAAAAATCGAGTCAGGGCAAGACAATCCTGTGATTGATATTATGAACAACAATCCACGGGACATGATGATACGCTATTAACCAAGTCACCGTGTCTTGCACACCACAGGTAGCTGGGGACCTATTCTTACCTGCAATACCCACCGGGATAATTTTCAAGACGTCCAGTTAAATGATTAACTAATGTGACAGTTACAATTCACCACGTATAAGGCCATACAAATGATTAATCAGAATGTACTAATTTTGCACATAAAAGATCAACCTCATGACATTAGAATTTATATCCGAACGGATCAAGATCGATCTATCATCATATTATTTCCAGGTATTCCATATCATTCAAACAAAGCAAAGCTTTTCGATAACACCAACATGATATATATCTATTAAATCAAACAGTGGAACTAAAAATCAAGCAACACAGATAATAAGACAACATAAACATACTTTTGATGGGGACAGAATTCACTCTTCGGCCATTTTGGTTTATACGTCGCCATGGACAGCGGAAGCGGAAGTAGGATTACACTCAAAGATGGCTTCCAAAGAACACGTGAAATCATTACCAAAAGAAATTAAGGAACTGCTGAATAAATACCCCGTTTTAGAACACATAAAAGATTCAAATAAGGTAAGTTTGGTTTACACTTGGCAAATTTGGTAGTTTAGTTCTTTTCCAAATAAAGTTTAGACAATTTGTCCTCTTATCTGTGATATTTTGTTTTACAGTGTGTGTCATACATTTATCGTATTAACTGTAAAGGGGTTAATAAAATAATTAACACCATGCTATTAAAGTGATTTACTTATATTTACGGAACATAATTGATGTTTTACCGGAATGTGATCTAAATATTAAATGATACCTCTTAGCAAAGGGAGACAACTTTTGCATCCATGAAATATGATATGACCTGTCCTTTAAATTTTGCTCTTGCAGATAAAATGTACATTGAGTGGGCATGAAATGCCTTGCAAGACAGATATCGTGTCTGGTTACGTGAATGGGAAGAAGTTCATCAAGTTGTATAAAGATAAGGAATATAACTACGACAGATTAAAACCACATCTTGTTCCAAGCACCAGGAGACATCACGAGTAAGTGTGATTATCATTGTAAATTGGTTTCGGGCCATCATGTATACATTACACTATGGTATGGTTGTCAGTGCTTCAGATAGATGCTGCACATTCTAAGATGCTTAAGATCAAAGGTGCCGACTGTACTTTATCCTGTACAGAGTACAATTGTTTAGTTACGTCATAATGGACTGACGTCATGGCGCTGTTCAAGTTAGAGACTTATGTATTTGAGTATAAACACATTCTAGTTTTTTATGTTTTCTTGATGACAAGTTAAACTTTATTGAAATTGAGGGTAGTGCTCGTTTCTGGAGCAGAACTCCAAAACTGTTAAATATTCCTGGATGAAACTTGCAATATAGATCATTCTTGTGGAGAACTGGTGCCTTTTGATGATTTGGGATATCGAAAAATACTGAATAGCGTTATTTTTTTCTTTACTAAACTGAAGACATCCAATGGCAATGAACCAAAAGTGGGGTATAAGTAGCCAAACTCATTTCCGAATACACCAGTCCCGGGGGATATGTCATGTCCTGATGACTCTTGTTCTCAAGACACCTGACGTGGCAACCTGTGTTACCCTAGTATGTTCTGGTCACTTGATGACAACGCCGAAGACCTTGGCTCGATTCCCGACATGAGTACAATGTGTGAAGCCCATTTCTGGTGTCCCCCGCCGTGATATTGCTGGAATATTGCTAAAAGCGGCGTTAAACCATACTCACTCACTTGATGACAAACTTGGCTAATGTGTAGATGTAAAACACTCCTGTGAAGATCTAGGTCAGAACAGGTCTTCAGCAGCTTATGCTTGTCGTAAGAGGTGACTAACGGGATCGGGTGGTCAGGCTCGCTGACTTTGTTGTTGTCAACTTATCTCAACTGTGTAGATTGATGCTCATGATGTCAGTCACTGGATTGTCTGGTCCAGACTCACCATCATATATCTGGAATTTTGCTAAGTGCGGCGTTAAACAACAAATAAATCACACACCTCTAGATGTGCCTCAATTCTGGTTATCATTGTTTGTGAATGATTCCTATACTAATATGTACTGATGCAATGATAGATTTTAAGTGCATGATTGGATGTGGAGGATAATGCTGTTGGATGTCAGTGATAATAGATCCATCTATAGACATGATAGATGCATCTTCCCGAGGCAAGAGACTTAACTGACTTTAAAAGTCCAGTTTCCACCCTTGCCGAACTAGGCTGGAATTCCTTGGCTCGATCGTAGCGCCACCAGTGGCTATTATGAGTTATGTCCTTTCCAAGCCTCTCCTATGGACCAATCAGATTCCACCTGTTGTATCACTTGCATTTGCTTCAAACAAAATAGCGGCGCCTAGTCAAGACAATCTGATCGATAATCAATGTCTATATTGTGATTAACGGTCTTACATCACGAAATGCATCAAATCACAGGAGCACCTTGATTAAAAACATGAAAAGATTTGGAAAATATCTGTTGATAACGAGTTAGCGGTGCACATGCTTTGCAAATCCTTTAATCAACCGAAATCTGCACGACAGTTTACAAACTGGATTTCGATTTCGTTATGCGATTTTGATTGGACTATGCATAGACTTGTTAGTCCAGCCAAAATGTAACTCCATAATACCAGGCTAGTTCAGCAAGGGTGGAAACTGGACTTTTATAGTCCGTTTACTCTCTTGCCTCAGGAAGATGCTATAGATGATGTATCCCCAATCATGTATTTCATTTATGGAATGCTTTTTAATTTTGTAAAGTATGGTTAAAAACAAGTTATTTGACCAACAATGTGTGGAAAGAAGCAGAAAAAAATGCAACAGATTATATCCTGATGATTGATGAATTTGAACAAATATGACCAATGTTTGATGACAGCGGTCAATTCCATCACTAATCTGTGATATGCATGAGTAGAGTTTTGCTAGGGAGATTAAAGTATGGAGGATTTATCAGGACGACACATATTTTGTTCCAGACATCAGTTGTTCTGCCTCCTGACATTCACCCACATCAACAAGACGCCGGTGGCCGTCGACCGTCACTTGAAGGGCAGGAAATACAGCAAGGCTTTGAAGAGATGTATGGTTATCAATTCTCTCAGTTGCATTATTGATTCCTCAATGTTGTATTTTGCTTATACATTGAACTTTGAATACTTGTTCCCACCAATGAGGGGCGGTCGGGTAGCCTAGTGGTTAAAGCGTTCGCTCGTCATGCCGAAGATCCGGGTTCGATTCCCGACATGGGTACAATGTGTGAAGCCCATTTGTGGTGTCCCCCGCTGTGATATTGCTGGAATATTGCTAACAGCGGCGTAAAACCATACTCACTCACTCCCACCAATGATGACGCCTAAGTTTGTTCAAGAGGTTTGAATCTGATGGCTGGCACAGGGGCCAAATTAATAAAATCTGCTCATTGCCATTAATCAGCCATTTTGTACAAGTTTTTATTTTATTTTTTGTGGGATTCAACCGTTTTTTTTTTACAGTATTCTAATTTTGACGATGCATGTATAGTTCTTATGATGACCTCATATTTTGATCAAATAATAAGAATTTAGTATTCATGCAGTAAATGCTTGATTGATGGCTTTTGTTGAGTGTCTGACTTTGTTGACATTTTCACTTGTTGACTTGATAGTGCTATGTTGTGACCGAAACTGAACATTAAGCAGAGCTCCAGATAAGCTGCGTATCTGCGTAAAATACGCATAAAAAATGCAGAAATAGGCAGTAAAATAAAATCCAAGCGTATCAAATACGCAACAAACATTACAGATTCACTAGAAAAATAAAACTTGTGCCTATCGTCAAAATATTGTGAGGTAACCCTCTGTATTCGATTAGCAAATCAACAACTTATTTGGAAATTATGAATGGACATTCCGTCAACCTTGCCAAACTCCATGATGACAGTTACGTCATGATCATTTGCTATCACACTTTCTTGTGGAAGTATCGTGGTATTTTTGAGTCCTATAAAGCTCTCGAACCCAAACAACACAAGTTTGCAGGGACTAGATGAATAGTGTTTGTAAATATTTAACTTAAATACCCACATGTGTAAAAACTAGTGGGTAACAGAAATTTGAATACCCAGATAGAATTACTGATACTCAATGATTTTAAAATGCATGGGTAAAATACCCACAACACCAAAAGCTTATCTGGAGCTCTGATTAAGTGTGATGTTTCGAATGTTAAGCAGAGCACTGCCAAATATACAGGTAAAGCCAAACTTTCCTTCTTTGTTGGTTATATTTTGTGTAAATCCCTGGGCACAGTGGCTAATAAAAAAATAAATAAAGACATTTTCTTTTTTCAAGTAGTTTTGTGAGTGTGTTTCCATGTGTGTAATGAATACAGGTTGAAGTACTGTTCTAATATTCCTCACACAGAACTCTCGAGTTGGAGATAGTGGGCCTTAAATCAGATGCATCAATCATCGATGTGATGTTGGATAGATGAATTAAGCAATACGTGTTTGGTGCATGGGGTTATAAATAAGGGGGCGGTCGTGTAGCCTAGTGGTTAAAACGTTCGCTCGTCACGCCCAAGACCGGGTTCGATTCCCGACATGGGTACAATGTGTGAAGCCCTTTTCTGGTGTCCCCCGCTGTGATATTGCTGGAATATTGCTAAAAGCGGCGTAAAACCATACTCACTGACTATAAATAAGGTCTTGACTGTCACCTGTTGTAGTAGCAGTGCTCGATTTAAAAACTTGAGAAAACACTTCTGTTGTCAATTATTTTGGTTTGAATGATTCAAGGGACCAAGTGTCAGGAGACGGGGGAAGTGTTCCGTCCGTTACGCAAGAGGAAGAGGGAGGAAGATGAACCTGGAGATGGCAACAGCTTCCATGATTCTGACAGGGACTCCGACGAAGACGTGGACACAGATGATAGCTACAGTGATCTATATCCACGTAAGGCAGCAGAGATTATGCCAGGCTGTCTGGTATTTATTTCCAGTTATGGTTTAAAGGTCATTGGCGCTGTGTGAGAAAGATATTGAATGTTAAATAATCCCAATGGGGATTCTGGGTAAGGTTGGATTATATTCAGGGATTCATCATTATTTATAAAGCTGTGTAAGTATTTATAAAGCTGTAACAAATATAAACATTAATACATTTTATCAACTTCCTTAGAGAGGCTATACATAATGTTAATATCTCATGAAAGAAATAAATGACGAGTGGGAGTTGTTTATCGTACAATAAAACACCGCAGGGAGAACAAACCACTTGTCTCAGGTTGTTTATTCTTCATGCAGTGTTTTATTTTATGATAAACAACTCTCACTCATCATTTATTTCCTAAGTAAGATCTTAGCATGACAACCATATGGAGTGACAATAGACAGTTGTATGTATGTGTGAACACCACAAGTAAATCTTCGCCATTACATCTGCGAGATGCACCTGAAGGCTGGCCACACACGTACACAGAGGTTAGAGCTGTGTTCCATAGCTTGTCCTTGGTGTTTCAGCTCAGTATTTCGGCGGGGACGGCCTGAACTCGGACTTCGAGTGTGACGTGGAGGAGGACGAAGGGGCAGCGGTCACGACACTGAGCAGGGGGGCCTCAAAAAAGACGTCAAAATGGGTGGGTTGGATGATGTGTTTTAGCACACCATCCTCTATGTTTCCAGGGCTAGCATTTCAGTAAAACTACACTTACACCTGGATCCATTCCTGTGGTTCTTGCGATCGCAAATTACCTGCCATTGATGTCCATTTGCCAATTTAATTGGCTACACTACTAGGTCTAACGTACCAATAAGAATGTGAGTGAGAAACCAGCCTCAATGTTGGGTTGGCCAGTCTGATTGATTATGATTGATTATGATTGATTATGGCTGTGTTATCGATGAGACAAACCAATCAGATAAACGTGGCATTATGATCCGATAAGATATGCAAATGAAGTCACCTTGCAGGAACTACTTTCAGTCTCTATACTTCAATCAATGCCTTTTTTCACAATAAACTAGCGTCAGGTAAGTATAAAAACATTGCATTTAATCAGAAATGCTCCTTTTTCTCAATAAACTATTGGCTACCGTTCCCAATATGCCGAGACAGGAGTTTCCTTATGTGCCGCCGAGTTTAAGCAGCAGACATGGCTGCATGTAATTTGGCACTATATGATAAATGGGCGCTTCACTCAAACATTGTATTCATACACCATGGACTGATTGACTTGAATTACGCCTTAAATATTTGTTGTTTTAAGAATGCCATTATTTGTAAATATCATATTAGGTATAAAGAGTATGTCTATTATGTATGCCTACAAAATGTTCGCATAAAACAATTTTTATTCCTAATGTATATTTACAATACAGATTTAATCTCTTCTAATAATCTCTTTTGATTTTTAGTCAAATTTTGACATGTTCTTTTCATTTGTTTTAATTGCAGGCCAAACGAAAACATGACAATAAACATAAGAAGATGAAATCTGGAGATTAACATTTGCCGATGGTGTGGTTATTCTGACACGGACTCCATCTCGGCAAGGCTGGATGCTTGTGTGAACTTACAATGGAACAGTGAGGTGATATCCTAGGGCTGATGATGATGATGATGAACCTTGAAGACTGTATTCATTCAATAAGGACGAGGCGGAGACTGACTCAACCACTCACTGTTTGACAGTGTCGCAGGTCGGGGCTGTGTGGCATCAGTGCATTGCTTGATCGAGGTGAAACACGTCTCACATCATTATAGAATTTTGCAGAAATAATTTCCAGTGACAATCTGTGTGCTGTAGAGAGACTGCAGTGGAGTTCACTGAAAGGTGTTTGCAGGTCTGAGTGAGCAGTACTCGACATCAAGATTCATGTGTCATTTTATACTCTGAACTGAGTACATTTCAGAAGGTCTGAGACGAGTCCAAATTTACTATCCGGGTACCCACCGTAGGTCTCAAGGTTGGGTACAAAATGTCTGGTTGGGAAGCCCTGGCAAAAACTGTTTAGATAATGATCTGATCATGCATACACTGAAGTGAACTGGAGTTTATTTTTACTCAAACATATAAAGTCAGAAAGATTATGTGCATATTCACAAAGAAATGCGACCATAAGCGACTTTTATTGTTATTGAAATATAAACAATATATCATGTGACTAATCTTGGGTCCTACTCAGGACCCACCCGACTCGAGTTACCAGCCCAGCCCCACATTTCACCCTTATGAAGGCAAATCGTCTTCCCAAGGCAAGAGTGTCCACTAGCCTATGTTAAAGTCTAGTTCTCTTGGCTCGATCGTGTCACCCCATGTAGAACACAAGTTGTCTCCCTTGTGATGAATACACAATATCCAATCAGATTGCTTTCTTATTTCAAATGGCTTTTAAAAAGATGACTACAAAAGCAGACGACCTGGTTGATCAAATAATAAAAATATTCCAGATTTCATCCCCGACAGACAAACAGAATGACAGATTACAACAGTGAAGATACTTATCACTGCCTCACTTCACTCTTACAAAAGGGACACGCGATTCGCTGTGCAGAGTTGCGTCCCTTTGGCACGCCAGAAACCTATGATTGTGGGTTCGAATCCCGGTTTGCCCCGATTATGTTTCTAGGTTTGTCAGCACCATACCCGTGCTCATGGGTTTCACCGAAGTGGTTAACGTCGAGTCAAAGACCTGTATCACTTCGGGCTTTCCTCCCACATTAAGCTGGCACGTCGTGATATAACTGTAATACTGTTAAAAGCGGCGTTAAACACAACTCACTCACTCACTCTTACAATAACAGAGGCATACAGACTACACAGTATCAAGTAACGCTGCACATCGCGGTAACCTGAAATGTTCAGCAGGGGTTGGCTAAAAACAGCACTGCATCTCGTCACTGCAATAAGCATTTATTCGTTCCGAGTCCCTTAACAATGAAGTTTGCACTCAAAGATATGAAAGTACTTGGACTGGTCTAGTCGATGTTCCCTTGATGTAGTGTTATTTACAATGTTATTTGTTGTATGTGAATGTACAATCAATAAATATTACGTTATTGGTAGACAATTCTGAGAACACACTGTTTAGCAGCACTGAGGTGCTCAGGACTCGAGTTGTGACTAATAACTGAAGTTTTGGTTCATTAACAGATGAGGATACCATATTATTATTTCTGGTCATGTGATGATACAGGTATACAAGTATTTGAATGGATACTTTGTTTGTGAAGTTAACACAACCAACAGATTTGTAGTTTCTATTGACAAAATAGGGCTCCTCAACTTGTGTGCCATCACATCAAAATGGAGGACGGTGTATGTTCAATGACAGGACATTTTGAGGCATCGAGTTTCTAAAAGTTTCAGTTATGAAAAATATGTCACTTGGCCGACACTGGACTGGTATTGTGCAATCTGCTTAAAATCCTACTCCTGTGCAAAACCTCTGCCGAGGACACAGGTCAACTTCCTAATTGGCATTAAGCCTTTAAAATCATGGTATGAGGGAGCAAAGCAATTAGACCAGCATATCTGATTTGTGTTTACGAGAAATGAGGTAAACGACCAGTTCTGAATGTAAATAATAAAGGCTACACCATTATAGTGTTTTGAATATTTCTTGCCATCGTTTCTTAGCATCAAGGCATCTACACCCAAAGAGTATAAATTGAAGGAACATTTGTGATCTGCGGGGGATATTTAAAAAAATCTAAATTTCAGAATTGAGTGAACACACAATGCCATTTAGAAAGTAGTCAAATGTAACAAAACACTTTCTCAGTAAAGTACAGATCCTAGGACTTTTTTGGGTTGAGTCCTGTCAATTCAGAATTGACAGTTTTTCTTTCATGAAGCTGACATCTGACTGGGCACTAATTGCTCAGTTCACTCGAGACAACCCTCTGTGGATCGATTGTCCAATCTATGCAGAGAGGTATGTAGAGTAGAAGATTAAATACAACTGCCTTGATTATTTGTTGTTCATATACAATGAAATAAAGATGTAACACATGGGTACAAAATATGAATTACTTTTATTCAGCTGCATTATGCAGCTGCGCCATCAGCTGCTCATGTAGTGCACATACGATGCATACAAAGATTGCATTGGAATATCTTACACATGCAGGAAAGTTGCTTTCCATCATGCATGCTATGTACAAAAGATCACAGGTGAGCGGCGAGGACGTCCTGATAAGGCATCCTCGCCAGTGTTGTGATTCTAGCACTGTCAACACATGTCAATGTTTGAAAGACCATCATTTCGTAAAGGCATAAAAATTTAGCTTCTCAGCACTCATGTCAAGTCAAATGAATTTAAAAATTTCACATTGGACTCACATGGGCTGATAACTTCGATGATCAATATACCAGTTAATTATCATAAATTGTCAATTTCTACTGATTGAATTATCATACATGTACAAAGAGGTTTGTCTGCATGCTAAAATCTTGATCACTGACACTTTGATTGATCATGCAGTGTGTTTGAATTTATCGAGAACATATACATAATAATCACAGAAAATAGTTTGAACATTTTGTTTCCCATGATGAAAACAAAGTTTGATTTCACACTGTTTCATAACACCATCCGTTCAACTCCTTGTGAGCATTGGAAAACAAGCACCATTTCTCTTGCCTGGAACATTCCCAATCCTGTACCGTGGCGGTAACAGTAGGTCATTGTTAAAAGGTTCATAGAATAGATGGTCAATTGCAATATTTGAGCATGTCTGTTGAATGGTATTTCAACCTGAATGTCGAACAATATTTGGATCATATTCAAAATAAGACTTTCATTTCAAGACATTACACGCTGTTCAATAAGATCTATAATTAAGAATCTACATGGTCTTCGTTGGAAGAGCTATCAAAGATTGTGCGGCATGACTCTTACACTTCATGGAGTAAGGATTGTCAAGCACATATGCCAACAAGTCCGCAAGGCTCGTATCAACTGAGATCGAATCTCTTCACACTCCTGTTTGAACAATGAACACACTTGACCGAGATCCGATTCCGTGACTATGGAATGCTCTTGGAACTGTCCACATCAAGATGTCAACGACTTCGGTGGTTGAGGAATCAACTCCCAAGGTTTGGGGATGCATTGGCAGTTCTGTGTGGGAACAGACATGGGTATGATGAATAAATAAGTCTTTGGTCCATGTTCTTTGGAGAGGAGTTGAGTGACTTAGTCCCACTGGGAGTACTGACTGAGGTGCACAAGTCGAGGTGCACAAGTCGAGCTGCTAGCGCAAGACTGTTGTGTAAAACTGCATACAGCTGCCCCTGGCAACACTGCTAAATTACATCAGTGTTCTTGATAATTCTGAAAGACTGGATGAGCTACACGCCGACAGAGACTCTCCTCACATCATCAGTGTATCTTGTAGCATGGTGGTGGAGCTTGAGGGTCAGCCCGAGGACTGTCATTGGCCGTTCACATTTCAATCTGGCTTATGCCATATTTGTGTCATTCACATTTAACAATGTGTTGTCACACAACCATATCGTGTTCTTAGCATTCAACATCAACATCTTAACATTCCTTATGAATACAGTAACACCACTGTAAGGTGGCTGCAACACCACTGTAAGGTGGCTGCAACACCACTGTAACGTGGCTGCAACACCACTGTAACGTGGCTGCAACATGACTGTAACATGGCCGTGTGCCACCTGAATGACTCACTGGTGCATGGTGCACGCTGCACCCACTCCGTCAGCCCCAGCGACGGACGGCCTGCCTGTTGCCAGACTGTAGATAACCTTATTAAGCTGCGTGGGCGGATGGTCATGGGTTCGGTGGGCCGTTCACACCAGGATGTAGAAAGTTACAGCTATTGCCAAACCTGCAGCCTCCTGGCTGAACAAAGTGTCGACAGACAGGTCGTGTTCTCGGCCCTGGAATCAGTAAGAAGCTCCGTTGTGACAAGGTAGAGGATTCAGGACATATCTTACACTCATACATTAAGACAACAACAACTGAATTTTTAGATTCCATCAATTTCTTTTCGTCAAGTGAAGCGGAAGGTATTATATGTTTTCTTAAACATACAAACTGTTCAAAGCATCTATGTACAATAACTGTGAATGTCATTAAAATCAGATTTTAGTTCTTACAACTTTTAAACAAAGATCCGAGAACATCCTACATCACGTCAGAGGTGCTTATTTTCACAAAAGGTATTTTCAACATTCAATTAGAGGTGAGGTGAGGTGAAATGGGGTTTAACGTCGCGTAACGAGGCGGTCCATTCAGTTAGAACATTGCATTCATTGCAATAATGGAACACAACGGATTACATCCTCCTAATTTCTCCTTGTCCTGTTATCAGGTAAAAAACAAAGTTACCTTTCAAAGCCATTAACAGAAGTGATAAACATAATAGTCTGCTGCAGACTTCGGGCCAGATATCGGCCTCTAAATGGGTCCAGACACAGTAGCCTTACAGTTGTCTTGAAAGTTGAACACATACCTCCTCGTCCTCCCCGTCCTCTCATCATGCGAGGGGGCAGTCCTCGAGGTGGTCCTCCCCTCATGTAGGGCATCCCTCCTCGGCCTCTCATCGGGGGCCCGTGCGGAGGTCCCCCCATCATGTTCTCCCCCCAGTCATCGCTGTCACCAGGGCCTCCAGGCCCCCCGGGACCACCTATCCCAGGCCCCCCGGGACCACCCATTCCAGGGCCGAGGCCACCCATACCAGGCCCCCCGGGACCACCCATTCCAGGGCCAGGGCCAGGACCGGGACCTGAAACAAACCATGTACAATGCTAAAATGATGATCACAGGACACAAAAAGGGCGATCACAGGACACAAAAAGGGCGATCACATGACACAAAAATGCTGATCACAAGACATCTAGTATAATGATCACATCTGATCAATAATATTAAGACAAAGCAACTCCACATTCAGTAGGCCTCTAATGAGCTCTAAGCATTCCTGGATGGGTGTAAAAAGCCTCTGGATCAAAAGCAAATGCAATCTTGTGACTAACCTGGAAATCGAGGTGGCATTGGTCCCCCCATGGGAGGGAATCCTGGGGGTGCTGTGCCCAGGAGTCCTGGTCTTGCTCCTGGGATCATGGGGCCATGTGGACCAGGTGGACCGTTTTCTGGACCGAACCCCTGCATGAAGTCTGAAACATGGCAACACATCAATATTGGACAACATACATATTAAGCAGCAGAAACTACGGCAATCAATGTCTCACCACGACAGAGATAATCAATTAAAACATCCACTCAGGGTTTCACATCAGTTCATTTTCAAAAACACTGACTGATTGTCATCCAAACTTTCTAAAAGATACTTTATAATTTGTCACTGAGGAATGTCCTATCAAACAATGCTGACATTATGACAATGTCCAAATGGTATTTAGCTCCAGCAGATTCCTCCACTTACCAGGGAGTTGTTGTTTGAACGGCTCCAAAGCATGTCGCAGATTCTCAGATAGTTCCCCGGTCTTTCCTTCGGATCCCGCCTAGAAACAGAAGTGACATGAGAGAAATGTCCATTTGAGGCTAAAATTACAATCAGAAAGCATCACAACCAAATTAATTCAAAACTCACTGAGGATATCAGTTACCTCCCTTGGGATAATGAGTGAATGTTTTTTTATACTGTAGTTGTCAGTAATTCAGCTGTAACTGCAGACTGGAATTTTTCTAAACTGTATGGCAAAAGAAAGTGTACACTGAAAATGGATTTGACCCAAAAATGACAAACATTATCAACACGTACTACGCTGAAACAGTCATCAAAACAATCCAACCTGAGGGTCCAAAACATCACAATAATATCCGTATCATATACATCACCATCAAATAACAATTTCTTGTATTTATTCTTGACATTATTTTTTGCCTCCATCCAACTTTCTTCTACCTGGCAGTTTAGTCTGGGCTAGTGTGCACCATGACACACATTCATCCAGGTCAGATTCCCTTGGTACCCTTCGACCTACACTTACCAGATAAGAAGCAATGACGTTCTGGATGTTAGCCAGCGCTGTGTTGGTGGCCTGCTGTGCTGATGGATCATGCTGTTGTTGCTGGATGGACGCGAGAACGTTGGCCAGTTCTGGGGGCAAGCTGTAGGGGTCGACTGTGGGGGGTGGGGGAAGCTGCTGTACGGTGGTCTGGGGGTACAGGTTTTCATACGTGTAACTCAGCTCCTCTCCTGCATTCTCCTGTGAGAGAGAACAAGGGGTGATGTACAGCTCATTGGTTACTTTACATAACAAGGTATTGGTGAACACAAACACTTCCAGACTTTAACAAGTGTAACGCTGTACTCAGCAATATCCCAGCTATGTGATTGTGCAGTTTAAGTAACTGAATCTGGGGCAGACAATCAAGTGATTGATATTATGAGCCCATCCTGTCCACTGAGTTGCCTCTTATCACAAACAAGGTGGACTGGACGTATTCTAAGCAAGAATTGAGTAAAGCGATTGCCTTCGAAGCTGAGAGTGCTGGCAGAGAAGCTGCCAATCACAACACTGTAATGAAATCAGACTCGCAAGTGACAGTATTGTTTGTTTGTTGTTTAACGCCACTCTAAGCAATATTCCAGCTTTATGTTGGCGGTCTGTAAATAATCAAGTCTGGACCAGGTAATCCAGTGATTGGCATAATGAGCATTGATCCATGATGACATGCATCAACCAAGTCAGCGAGCCTTACCATCTGTTAGTTGCCTCTTACGGCAAGCATTGGTTGCTGAAGACCATTCTACCCTGGATCTTCACAGGTCACAAGTGACAGTAACATTCCAAGACAATGGTGTATTGTCAATACAGTTGACACAGTGACACTAAAACAATTGTGCACATATACTAAAACATTTGTGCACATACTCTCCTGTTCTTTCCAAAACTTCATGTACATTCAAAACAGAAACCTTTCATTGACATTGTAATACATGACATAACAATTGCATTGATATTTTATTTCCCCTCTCTCTGCCTGTACAACAAAAGGATTGTACTTACGTCTTCAAGGGGAATGATTCTTGGTTGCGAGGGTTCAATTGACTCTAGCTCTGGTTCACTGGGAGTGTCGGGGACCCTGCATCATCAACAGGTGACATTGTCAGGATGTTGTCAAGCCATCAGTGTTAGTTACTTACTATTCGGCCATTTAAATTCAATAAATGATACTTTTCAATCTGAAGCATCATTCCTAAGTATAGGCATTCATGTTCATGTCTCAATGTTGAAAGCGTAATTCCTAAACCAGAAACATACTTCAGATGACATAGAGAAAATAAATTCCTGCAATTAATATCTTGTGATAATATTTTACAAAATTTATTTAAATATTTCATAAAGACATACATCTAAAGAAATGATACTTTAAATGATGCCATTTTTATAGGTTTGAAAAGGAAAATTAAAAATGCAATGAAAATACTTACATAGTTTTTGAGAAGAAAATTGCCTGTAGAACCTTCTGTTCTCTGGCCTTCTGAATGTCCTTCTCCGTACTGTTGGCGCCATAGTCAAAGGCGGAAGAATCATCAAAGAATGGAGGGGTTCGCCACTGCAAGACAGACCATAAATACTTAGGAACAAAGGTGAGTGTGAGTCATGAGGTTAACACTGCTCTGGACAGTATTCCATTCATATCACGACCTGTCAGCTTACTGTGGGTACAGCCATGGGTATTGTGAGACAAACCTAGAAACACAATCACTGCTCCCCAAAACAATTAAACAAGCTTATAGTTGTCAAAGAGAAAATCTCGGGTACGAATTTGTGAGAGAGCTAGCTTCAATGTTGCTTTGAAGGAATTTCAGTTGTAAACGAGTGTTTCAACTAAATAATGAATGTGAACTAAATTTATATCCTCGCTGAAGGGATACAAGTAATGCTTTGATGATAAAAATGAAAGTAATTATCGGTAGTTACCATTTGTTAATAAATGAAAACTATTGATAATCACTAATTATCAGAGTACTCACCGGCAGAGCCTCAACCATGTTGTCGTTGATTAATCTTTTAGCACTTTCCATGGCCTGAAATAGAAAATTTTAAATGGAAGAGTTGTTACAAGTACATACAATACATGGAAAGCCACAATTTATTCAAATTAATGTGAAAACAATACTGTTAATATTTAGTCAGCCTTGAAAAGAGGCAAAAGTAAGGATTGCTGACTATAAAGCAAGTTATAATGATTAATCTAACTACACCCTCCTTGCATGTCAACTCAAACTTGTGGACCATGCCCATCTTTAATTGTGTATTCCACGGCAGTATACAATGTACTTCAGTGAACATGGTGCTGACATGAGAATGATAAAGAACCCCTACCTTCCTATCCATCATCATCTCTTGCTTCTTCAGCATGTTGAAGGAGTCCTTGGGTCGGTTGACATTCACTGAAACACAAAACATGGTACTCATGTTTACCTAGTTCTTGTGACTGCCATCATGAAGAACATGCTTAGGCATCGTAACATCCACATTCCAGATATCTTAGTGGATAGGAAGACAGCATGATAAAAGCATGTTTGTCACACTGAGTTTACGAAACGATTGTCAGAATTGTATTTCCTGTGTAAAGGCCAAGGTAATATTTCAGTTCTTACACAGGTTCGTAAAATCAGTTAACACACAGACGGGAATAATTGCATTAAACATTAACATCAGCAACTTGTCGAAATCTTACGTATAGATCGTGCGTAGTGATACATGTTTTCCATAGCCATGTAAACCAAAATAAACAATTCGCTGAGAAAAAAAGTTCCTCGGATTATTTTAAACAAAATACTTGAACAGACTTTTGCAGAATAATTGAAACTTTAATAACGGTAACAACAACGATTCGGTGTAATCTGATTATATCTCTGGTGTAACTTCACTTATAATATATAGTTTCAAATCAAACCGCTCGCTCTTCCGGTTATCTAATTTGCATATCTAATTTGCATACTTATGTCATTGGGGTATGACATACATGTTTTTATGTCATAAGCTTATGTCATGGATAAATGCTTAAGTTAAATGATAAATTTCTTTATTATCCATTATTTCTTATCCTTTTGAGCCCCCTTTCAGAAAAATGCACTTATCCCAAGAGCCGACTTAAAAGAAAACCACAATCTTTAGCTATGACATCGTTTCTATGTGACATCATATGACCTTACATCACAATATGATTCAAATGCTGTCAACAATGCGGTCTGGGTGACGTACATAATACACTGGTGCTCGTGAAGTGATGTTTGCACAGGTGCACAAGAGATCTTTATGGACAAAGGTTAATATGCTAATTACCTCGTTCAGTTTCATCCAAGTCGAAGTAGAAGAATTCCCGTATTCTCGACTCGTCTGCCCAGGAAACATTCTTCTTGGGTTTCCGCCTCTTTGTACTTCCTGTTGTCAACAAGGACTTGGGCTCCTGCGTTGAGTACTCAGGGAGATCATCTATCATCGGCTCTGCATTGCTCTCAGCTGACAAACAAACAAACAATCACATTCATAAACATCTCAATTTCAAAATAATGTCATTTTAATCCATGTCAATCCAGTGTTCATATTTGGGTTGGTTGTGTGGCCTTGGGGTTATGTCCTATAGTATTGGCGCCAAGGGACCCAACATGTTTAACTGTTCACATACGGGTTAGGACAAGGAAATCTTTTTTTCTGCCTAATTTCAAACACACCCATCACTTGTACACACATTTTTACAAACAAATAAATATTTCAGCTTGGTTGGTTGGTTGGTTTGTTGTTTAACGCCGCACTCAGCAATATTCCAGCTCTATGACGGCATTCTGTAAATAATCGAGTCTGGACCAGACAATCCAGTGATTGATATCATGAGCATCGATCCATGCAATTGGAATCAATGACCGTGCATCAACCAAGTCAGCGAGCCTGACCACCCGATCCCGTTAGTCGCCTTTTACGACAAGCATAGTCGCTTTTTACGGCAAGCATGGGTTGCTGAAGACCTATTCTACCCCGGAGGTGTATTTCCCATTACAATATACTCAACACATACAAATAATCTCTGGATGTAAAATGTGAGAAACCTTTCATTATGCATTCATTAATAGGTAGCAAAAAAGGTTTCAAAAACTGAAAGAAAAAATATCTACAAAAGCTGAGACTCGGCCACCAGAATTGAACATACTTAGTTGATCAGGATCGTCATTCAAGTGAAGGTCATGGTTGGCCATTTCTCCCTCTAGTTTGTCCACTACTGATTTCATATCTGCATCCTCCGTATCCATCTTCTCCTCAGGAGACGGGGATCTCCGGTCATCCTTGGATGTCTCTTCTGCTGTTTCCAGAGTATCTTTGTAAAACTGATTAGGAAAGATATTGTTTTGTTACAACAATGTATAAAACACTGCCCAGACAATTGCAATCATCAAAGCTTAAGTCTTTAATAATTAAACATATATTTCCAGTCCAAAAACATCACTAACAGTTCACAAACTTAGACAATTTCTCACAATCCAACAATTCTGAACAGCAAAGTGACTGACATGGGATAGAAATTAGCACTAGCCCTGACCAGTTTTGTTAATAAGATATCCTTAGGGTGAGTAGAATGTTAAACAATTTTGGTGGGCACTGCAATATGTTATCAGTATTCAGGCTAGTAGGCTTTCTTGGTAAATGTCCAACCTTTAGACTAATGCTCCTTATATTGAAAACAACATGATTTCAGAGATTAAATATGACAACTAGGAAGAGATTTCCTCCATACTTACAGAGGGTACAGAGGGCAGCTTCTGAGCCAAGGCTGTTGTGGGACTAGGTGGGACTTGTGACGTGGGTGATGTGTTGGACATCGTGGGTGAGGTCGGCGACGTTGGGGTGGTTGTGGGTTTCCCTGGGGAGATCTTCTTTCTTCGCTTCACAGCGTATGATGTAGGTTTGGTGATTAAACTGTCCATGAAACCACTGCTTTCGTGAAACTCTGGAGCTGGAGACAAAACAGTTCATGCATGAAAGTCATGAATAAAAAAGTAGGTATATTGCAAACACTGTTTCAAGTTTGCTTGTTTGTATATTCAGCAATATGCAGGATATATGACTGCGGTCTGTAAATAATCGAATCTGGACCAGACAATCCAGTGATTGACATCATGAGCATTGATCCAATGACATGCATCAACCAAGTCAGCGAGTCTGACCACCCGATCCCGTCAGTCACCTCTTACGACAAGCATAGTCACCTCTTACGGCAATCATGAGTTGCTGAAGACCTATTCTACCCCGGATCTTCGCGGGTCCTGTTTCAAGTACATGATAGCAGTGATATATTCTAAACTCATCCCATTCTTTCAAGCATTTATCAAAACATTAATCAACCTTGGTAGGAAAAGTTATTTTACAACAAAGTCAGTCATATTCCAGATATATCATGCCATCCTGCAAATAAACAGAGTCTGGGCCAGGAAAACCAGTGGTTGATAACGTGAGCAGCGATCTCTCCAACTTAAGTTATATAACAGATTGCCTGGATGCTGCATGGGTGAATCTCTGAAAGGTGTACACTGCTAGCTCCATGTCATACTGACTGTAACAGAACAGTAACCTTCAAACCAACCAGGAATTGGGATGATCGGCATAACTGTCAGATCATTTGAAAACAAGACAAAATTTAAGTCAGTTAACATAATACAATGTTAATATGATGAACACTTACGTTTTTTAGGTGGAATGACTTTTATTCTGCCATGTATCTCTGTTGGAGATACAGCAGCACGAGAAGAGTTGAGAGTGGAAGCAGAAGACAGTGGTGGCATGCTTAACGTGAGGCGGGGTTTCTTCTCAGGAAGTTCATCTGGCTTAGCGTCTTGACTGCAATATAATTCAGCAACGTGAGAAACTAATTTTTGTACACATTCCTGTAATTATTAACTTGCTATAAAATCCTTAAAATTCTAATAGCTCTTAATGCTGTTAAAAGTATCACATGAAGGGGAGATAATTTGTCCCAACAGAGTTATCTCCCCTGTAACATAAACTTGCACAACAGGAGCAGCATTACTTGGAAACATGTTTCAATTATTTTTTTAATAAAATTAGTTAATTTCATATTTCGTATAATTTGTTTGCAATATAAATGTTTTGTACCACTGTCATTCATAACCATCATAGAACTAAATATATCAGTATTCTGATTCTGCGACACAGTTATTTTGCTTGATTTTATGTATGACCCGCCGGAAGAAAAGGGTGCTATGGATTCCAGGAAACAATTGTGATGTTTGACGTCATTTTAATAGTATCAAGATTGTCATAAAGACTGAAAACTGGGACTTTGCATAAAATGAGTACAAATGGTTTAGGCCATTTATCTCTGTAATAAATAGGAATTGCTGCTTGAGAATTGTATTTTTGTGGTCCTAGGATAATGCATTTTTAAAAAATAACGAGAAGTCAAAATGTGAGTTTTCCCCCCATAAGGTCCCTTATGTCATGGTGGGTGACATTTGTAATCTCCCTTGAAACACAAACCCGCTTTTGTTGGTAGGTGGGGGGAAATTTCAGATTTTGTTTTCGTCAAAAAGTTTGTAACATGTTGTCATGTGTGCAGAGTTATTTAATCTTGTCTCGTTAACCCATTGTAAGCAGTGGTAGAAACTAACATAGTGATTAGTCCACTAGTCCTTATGATACCTTAACCATTGGGTAGTTTGGCAAGGACTACAGGACGATTTCTCATGCTGTTCAGCTTTATTTTCTTGTTGCTGCATCTATTGTATTTAGTTCAGTTTGTATATTGTTTTCTCCCACTCTTCCTTTATAAGGCAGAATCTGTGAATCATATTTTTATAAAGTATCCCACCTTAATATTTTGTTGTGCATGCAAGTTTAGATAAGACCAGAATTTCACAATGTCACGAATGACTTTTTGTAAGATTTTAGAAAATTAACAGTGAATTTCACTGAAATCAAGCATATTTTAACAAATCTCTTATCTCACGTAATTTACGGTATGTGATGTTTTGTAATATGGTTCTAAAGCGGGTCAAGAAATAAACAGACCCAAACTGTTCATAATGGTAATAAATACAGAACTGACCAAAATCTCCATAGTAACTGAAAACTCTTTCAAAACAAAGCAGTCATGAGACCTGTCAATGATTGAAACTCCCTCAATCTTGTGGGATTCAAATACTTACACAGAACGCTTAAGCAATGGAAGTTTATTTGTGTCTTGGGACTTCTTTTTAACAGGGGCTACTGCCTTATCTTCACCGATGCCAGTCGACCGAAATTTGGCAGCAAATGTTTTCACAGTCTTTGGTCGTTTTTTTGCATCCTCCTTACTACTGTCCTTATCTGACTTAGAATCAGGCTTCTGCCCTAGTCTTTCACTGTGATCACTGGAGTGGTTGGACCCATCCTTATCACCCTCCTTATCACTGTGATGATGAGATTTCTCCCTCCTCTCCTTACTGTCTTTCCCATCCTTTGTCTCTTTATGCTTGTCCTTCTTCTTCTTTTTGTTCTTATCTGAAAACAAACACAAGTTTTGTTTGTTGTTCTGATTCAGTTCCAACACTGGCCTTTCGGGAAATAGTTGTTGTTGGTTTGTTGTTTAACGCCGCACTCAGCAATATTCCAGCTATATGACAGCGGTCTGTAAATAATCGAGTCTGGACCAGACAATCCAGTGATCAATATCATGAGCATCGATCCACGCAATTGGGATCGATGACGTGCATCAACCAAGTCAGCGAGCCTGACCACCCGATCCGTTAGTCGCCTTTTGCGACAAGCATAGTCACCTTTACGGCAAGCATGGGTTGCTGAAGACCTATTCTACCCCGGAATTTCGGGAAATAAATCTATGAACATCTTCCTGAGGCAAGGGAGTCAACTGACAATAAAAGTCCAGTTTCCACCCTTGTCGAACGAGACTGGAATTATGGAGTTATGTTTTGGCTAGCCTAACAAATCTATGCACAGTCCAATCGAAATCACATAATGAAAACAACATCCGGTACATAAACAACATGGCAAACACCGTGCAGATTTGGGGGGATTGCAGGATTTGCAGAGCATGTGTACCATCAACTTGGCGTTGACAGATGGATGACAGAATCTTTTTTTGTTTTTAATCAAGGTGCTCAAATGATTTTATGCACTTTGCAAGTCAAAACCCATTATATTACAATGAAGATCTTGATTTGCTTGTTTGTTTCTTTGTTGTTTAACACCACACTCAGCAATTTTCCAGCTATATGACAGCGGTCTGTAAATAGCTTGAGTCTGGACCAGACATTCAAGTGATTGATATCATGAGCATCGATCTACGCAACTGGGATACGATGACATGCATCAACCAAGCCAGCAAGCTTGACCACCAGATCCCATTAGTCGCCTCTTACAACCAAAATTTCCTTTTATGGTAAGCATGGGTTGCTGAAGACCTATTCTACCCCGGATCTTCATGGGTCCATTTTGTTTGAAGCAAATGTAAGTGATATGAAAGGTGGAATCTGATTGCTACAATTCTAGCCTAGTTCTGCAAGGGTGGTAACTGGACTTTTACAGTCAGCTAACTCCCTTGCCTCGGGAAGATGAGCTATGAACTGATGCATCAGAAGAGAAGGTTTCTCCACCTGCCAATTATTATACTCACCATTTTCGTTTTCGGCATTGCTATTTCTCCCACGGATCTTCTTCATCCAACTTTCAACAATATTAGTTGATAAGATTTTTATTTCTGTAAATAAAGACATTAACATTAATAAATAAACTTTGAAATCTTCAACACTTCAGCTTCTGTGAAACATTATCACAGAACAGTAGGTTAAGAATTAAAGGGTCGTCGAAATGACTAATAGATAAACCTATGCTGTGTTCAAATTAGACGTTAACAACAGTTTCGTAATCCATAAATAGTTCAGGTCTAATACCAGATTCTCATGCCATTGTGTTTAGCTTCAAATGAAACAAGTATCAAATCTATGGTTAAAACCTCTAAATTAGTTTGTTTGTTGTGTCAGCTATATGACGTCGATCATTAAATAACTAAGTCAGGACCAGACAATCCAGTGATTGATTAGCATTGATCCACGCAATTTGGATACGATGACATGCAAGCAACCAATTCCCCAAGCCTGACCACCCGATTCGTTCAGTCGCCTCTTACGAGTGTTGCGCCAGTGTACAGGAGTACCAACATGACCATCGTTTAACCTACTTTCATCCTCAGACTTGCTGAGCTGTTTGATGAGTTTAGCTGCATTATTTTGCTTGAGTATTTGAATGGTGACGGGAAGGTTCTGATACAGCTTGAGCATCTCTATGAGGAGCGGTTTGTTGTCCTCATCCTTGCATTCCTGCAGCCAGGAGTTGAGGGTCGTCCACCCATCACTCTCCAGTAACCTGAAAATGATCAACCTTTACGAAATGCCCTTGTTATACATTATAGGTGGAGTGACCATTTTAATCACACCAATCTAAATACGCAAAATAATGTACAAAATGTTGCACATCTGTGAATGTACTAAATAGTCTGCTGGTACAACTCAAGTTTAACTACATGTTTTTATATTAGCGCATACATCATGCTAGTGTAGTAGTTTTAATTACTTATCTTGGAATATACCTTCCACACCACAACCTTTTGGGTGTAGATGCCAGAGCCCTCACAAATGACAGGACATGTACAACAAACAACATTATAGAAGTGTGGCTTTACTTTTTTGCATTCAGAACTATCCAATCATATTCGTTTTTCGACACCCCCCGCCCCTCCGATCTTCATACAGAGAGGTATCACATCGAAGTATAAAAACATGTTTTGATGAGTCAGAGTGTGTTGACACAGCAACCGCATCAACGAACACAGAATCCGATGAAGAAACAACTGAAGGATGCACCTACTTGGCCAGGGCATCCTCAGACTGGGTAGCTTTCAGGATGTTGATGTAGATGCACTTTCCCACCTTCTTCACAGCATCTTTCATTAAACTGCAATATCACCAGTACAAGATTAATGTCGTTGCAACTTGTGATAAACATCTCATGCTCAAATGTGTTAATGTCATTCATGCTTACATTTATTACTATTCTGAATTCAATTGAGTGAATGTCGTTTTACAGCATCGTCAGCACTATTTCAGCTATCACAGTGGCCTGTCAATACTTGAAGCTGGGCGAAGCAAACCAGTGGTTGATAGCGGGGAAGGAGGACGCCCAATGAACTGTGGTCATACGTTGCAACCAAGCAATTATTATTTTAGCCCAATCTCTCGAACATGGGATGTTGATCACATATTTCCCTGAGAGAGAGAGAGAGAGAGTGAGTGAGAGTGAGTGAGTGAGTGAGTGAGGGTGAGTGAGTGAGAGTGAGAGTGAGTGAGTGAGTGAGTGAGTGAGTGAGTGAGTGAGTGAGTGAGTGAGTGAGTGAGTGAGTGAGCGAGCGAGCGGTGTTCATGTCACTTTGAACAATATTCATGGTGTCAGCTTGTGGGGAAAGCCCAAAGAGATGCAGGTTTGCTGAGGAATCCTAACTGTGAATATTTTTCTGTGGTATCTCGACAGAGAATATGTTTCAGTGGTATCTCAACAGGGAATATTTAAAATAAACACTTGATAGTCAATGATAAAAATTGTACCCTGATATTCTGGCTGCTTCGTCGGGTCCCTTAATTCCTCCTGTGCGGGTCAACAAAGGACTGAGAGCACTCAGAAGCTGCTGTGGATCTAACGGCCCCTGGTAACATGTGCAACTGTTGTGTCAATATTATGGAGGTGAGGACAATGGAATACACAGCTTGTTTCTCTTGCACCCCTTTACTCTACATGGAATGGTCAAAATTGGTTCCCATGGCAATTATAAAACATTGCTAACCAATGCAACAGGGCACTGGGAACAAGAATTGAATATGGATTTTTTTCTCAGCTTAATGAATGTGCAGTTAAACAGATTTCAAGAAATTGTTTTTATGAGGTAATGTTGACTAAATGTCTTAGCTTTGTTTGTTTGTTGTTTAACGCCGCACTCAGCAATATTCCAGCTATATGACGGCGGTTTGTAAATAATTGAGTCTGGACAAGACAATCCAGTGATTCATATCATGATCATCGATCTACGCAATTGGGATCGATGACATGCATCCACCAAGTCAGCGAGCCTGACCACCCGATCCCGTTAGTCGCCTTTTACGACAAGCATAGTCGCCTTTTACAGCAAGTATGGGTTGCTGAAGACCTATTCTACCACGGATCTTCCAGGTAAAATGTCTTAGCACCCGTAGTAATGTTCTCCTAATGACAGGTCATATCTTGCGTTAAATCAAGAGAAACAAGACGTTCACCCCACTCAATCAAGAATTTCTTGTTTTATAGACTTAGACATAGATTTTTTTTATTGCTTGCCTATCAATGTTCCATGAGTATTTTAATCATATCATTATAGACTTTGTCGTCTTGACAAGATGTTTGAAAAACAGTGACACAGCACTGTAGCTCACCTGGATATGTTGTCAACATTTTAAAATGTTAACAGACAGACAATCAATATACGTTGCTGTCAGCATTAATATTCAAATATTTTTGTTAAACACAGAGGAGTAGATATTAACACTTAAGTCTGATGATTTGAACAACAAAAATCATCCTAAAACATACATCAGCCACAGTTCAGCTCTGTCAGTCTTGCAATTTTAGAGCCGAAGTTTAAAGATCCAAATAAGAATTTTGAGACAATTTAGGAACATTGCCAGTTTGAGTTCAAATATAAAATAGCCCACTACTTACTACAAAAGTACCAAGCTTCATCTTGACAAAAAGATGACTGAGCATTAATAGGTTTTTCAATATGGCTGCAATGGTGGCCATATTGAAAATCAGATCCAAACCTCTTGAGCAAATTTGGGTGCCACCATTGGTGGAACAAGTGTTTGAAGTTCCAACTTCAGAGGTTCAATTGTTTCTGAGATGTTTACAGTACGAGGAAATGAGCATGGTAAAACAGTCAAGGTAAAAAAAATCAAAATTTAAAAAAGAAAAAGAAAAAAGGAAACAACTGTTGAGCCCCACTTCCAACGACACATACCAAAGTTCTTACTTTATGACAGAATCGGTTAGGTAATGCCCATAAGAAGTTTCAGCTTTCAGCATGGTTGAAATGCAAATGTTAAATCCCGGTCAAATTATAGAATATCACACACAAAATGGAACATAAGTTCAACCCAACTAACTACTTTTGAATAATGATGGCCAAGTATCTGCCATGAATAGGTTTTCCAATATGGCCGCTGTTGCGACCATATTGAAAATGAACATGGCTGCTGTGGCGACCATTTTGGATTGAAACCAGTAGAACAAATTAGGGTGTCATTATTGTTGGGAACAATTATGTGAAGTTTCAGCTTGTTTAGTGGTTTCTGAGACGATGTGTACTCCGGACAAGCAGGCCACGACATCAGCTCACTTGACTTTCAGCCAGGTGAGCTAAAAATTCATCAGTAGAAAGTTATAATTATTGCATATTCAGTCATGTTTGCCCTCAAATACTTCACATCTGAGTCAAAAAGTTATTCTGAAAAATATAATTTGGTGGCTCTTACACTATACATCAAGAATGAATGTTTGCATCCACAGCTGACACTACAACATGGTCAATTTTAAACAATTCTGATGCCTTAGAACTATATACTTTGCATACTCTTTATTGGAATCAAATCAATAATTCCTTGTTATTCATGTTCAATAGATCTATTGTATTTTCAATGTTATCGGGTTTTATAATACCAATGTAAAGTAAAGCAGTTTGGAAAAAGACATCCCAGTATTTATCCTGCTCAGCTGACACCACTTTTATATATTCTTTTCTTTTTTTGTTAATTTTTTTTTAATAACAGTTTTGCATAACAACAAACAATTAAAATTCTTACAGTTTAAGAACATTTAAATTTTTAAGTAAATTTTCTTTCATGTCATAAATCTTAAGATGGACTAGGATATTTTGAGTTATTTTTACACATTATTGTTATTGTTTGGGTTTATTTTGAATCAATTTTTATGTAACTAAGATTGTAAAAATATTAATAGTCCCAGATTTCCTAACGGAAGAAGTCAAAGAGTGTGGGTAATTTTACTACAAAGTAACAAATAGTGCACACAGGTATACGTTTTTATTTTCATTTTCACCGCTGTCATATACCGGTGAGTGAGTGAGTGAGTTTGATTTTTACGCCGCTTTTAGCAATATTCCAGCAATATCACGCCGGGGGACACCAGAAATGGGCTTCACACATTGTACCCATGTCGGGAATCGAACCCGGGTCTTCGGCGTGACGAGCAAACGCTTTAACCACTAGGCTACCCGACAGCCCCTATATACCGGTAGAGGTAATGGTAACTGTAGCTGGAATATTGCTGAGTGCGGCATTAAACAACAAACAAACAAACAAACACTTTGATTTTTTAGGTAGAGGCTTCGCGCTTTTTGCAACCAATGACATTAATATGTATAAAGAATTGAGGGAAAATTCAAGCAATCAAAGAAGGAAAGTGCTACAAATACAAGATTAATAGGGATAAGGATAAACAAATGATGAACGGAATTCTTTAAAGAACAGAGATATAAACACCAAGGACTGTACTTCAGTTTGGTAGGAAATGGGCGGTAACTATGTAAACTGAAATAATTTATTAAACCCAAAACTAACCAACATAGCATTTGTTCCAATTTCAATCAAACCTTTCTTTTCAAACATATACATATTTGTATATTTCTTAACTGTCTCAGCAATAAATGTTCTTGTAATACTCACATATTCAGATTTATTGTACTGTTATAGTATGCGCACTATTCATAATTAGAGTTAATCATATATTGGACAATATATTATTGTTTTTAAACATGTACTCTTGGTAAATGGAGTATTTAAATGGATATCTAGAAAAAATAAATCATTTTAGATAATCATGAAGAGACAGGGTGGTTTTATACTGTTGTTAGCATTATTCAAGCAATATCACAGCAGGGGACACCAGAAAAGGGCTTTTTTTATCCATGTGGGGAATCGAACCTCCGGTGAACACTTTAACAACTAGGCTACCCAACACTGCCCTCAAATCATTAGATAATTAAGCAAAAGCAACATTAGCCCAGGTCGGCCATTTTTGTATGGCAGAATAAATACTTGTCTTAAACTTGGTTCAAGTTGAAAACCTGTGCAGCAATTCTAAATTCGGGGTAAGTAAAAAATAACTTCATGGATTAATTAAAGAAATTTAGAAACTTTTCTTAACTGGGCAGGGCCACAAGGCGAACTTTGCCAACAATCATCTCTCATTCTTTAACAGGCTTACACTAACCGTGGCACCGAGATCTCTTTGTGGGGTTGCCCTGCTGTTGTTCCACAAGCCCTCACAATGTTACTAGTCAAGGGATAGTAAGCCTATGGCAATTTGAGAAGGGGTTCACATTGTACAGCTTATTCAATCTAGTAATGGAGGATACTTTGGAAAGCACTTAACATTCAACGATTGCCTGAAAGGGTGTAGGTTTTAGACATTTACCATTTTGGCATTACAAACATGCAAGGGAATGGCACCAACAGACCACAAATTTTCAAGTTAATTTCTCATATTATTGATAGAAAGCAACTTTAGGATTATTTAAATGTTTAAATTAATTGCACAGACCTCTATTGCATAGACGTTTGTCAGAATTGTTTCAACTGGTCAAACTTGACTGTCATTCAATTAACATATTGTGAATTTCTCATTTTATTATCCAGCACTAGTGGGAGAATCACAACTGATAAGTTAATTTGTTTTTAATACTGATTTAATTTCTATCATGAGGCAAGGCTCCATTAGTAATATACAGATGTACTAAGACATTGCATTCATGGATTCCAGGCTTGGGTGGTGACGCCAAGCGATATTCATAAAAAGTTTTCTCAGGAAACTACCACCCATTTTGTAAAAAAAATGGAACCTTTTCGACATTTTTTTCTGGATGTGTTACAAAACATGGTTGTCTGATGGTAGCTGCACATTCAAAACTAATATTAAGATACCTGACAAGTCCCTTTAACATTCAAATGTGGTTTATGAATTTCCAATCAGCCGTTTTTGGCCAGCATGAACAATTGGGAACATACGCAGTACAAGATTGTGCAACTAGTCCTATAGTTTACATGCCAATTTCAAGAATTAGGTCTAAAAGAAAAAGTCTTGCCTACAAAGCCAACTGATTACTGTGCTCAACTGTCCATCGAGTCAACCCTAGTTTACTTATATTATTTCACTTAGATATCTGGGATGAAAAAATACCAACATGACAATCACGGACAAACTACTCAAAAATATAACTGCACGTTACTTGGTAATACTGCTTAGAATATGTTTGTAGTATTCAACAACCAATAATCTAATCATTTTTAAAAACTACTTTTAATAATTAATTCCATTTCAACATACCCCCAAAAGGCTATATTTTATCCATGCAAACCGACAATTTGAAATAAACTTACATTTTTTGTTTAGGATATAATTAATTTTTTTTCAATCAGTTGAATACCATATACCTCCAAAAGGACAAACATGACTGAACATGCTACCTGATCCTAACAATGAAGTCCTGAAAGATTCGGACAATAGACTCTATGGAACATGGATTAGCTTTCAGATAGAACTTACGCAAATACTTTAGAGAAAAAGTATTTATTCTTGAACTAATGTATGTAATAATCTTTATATACCATTATTGCCTTACGTTGTTATCCATACCACAACTGCAGATACAGGGCAAACTTCAATCTGGAATTAAAATTCAACCATTTCAATCTCCAAAAACTCTCTGAACATATTCATGTGTCACCGAGGCGGCCATTATCATCTGGCTGTGTGTCAGGTGTTGTTGCTATGGCCATTATTTCTGGCGTCATGGTCCTATGCTAGTGCATGCTATGGCTCTAGACTAGTTTTGTTTCACATCAATTGATGTGAAAGAGGCAGATCTGAAATGTAAATCTCAATTTCTTGGCTGGACAGGCCAACCACATAATTTGGAATTCTGGAACAGATCATTTTCTTTGCCAAAAAGCATCAGTCTTTATTCCAAAAAATGAATAAAGACTTTCTGATTTTCAAAACTACTATTCAGAATATCAAATATTTATAAAAATAAAAATCCAGCCAAAAAGTTCCAGCCTTCTTTTTACATGCTGCTGAAATCCATCCTTGGGGAGTTTTCTGGAAAGAAAAGATTCCATTTGCTCACATACAAATTGACACAAGGTTGTCGCCATATTGACTAGTGTTATCCAATACCAGAACATTACCTTCATGTGGGCAGATGATCCAATCCTCTGCGAGTCATTGTACTAAGTTAGCTTATGTCACCTACCTTGTGTCCTTGTCTTCACCAAATACACAGAAGCATATTAACATCAGAGTGAAAGCTATTTGTTTAATACATGTGCCATTTCTTCTCAATGCCACAATCTTCCCGATTCAGCACTACTATTGGCCTTGACCTTCTCCCTGCTTTATTAAAAAAAAAAAAAAATCCCATGGTTTTCAGGTTGTTATGCCCTTGACCTTAACTTGGAATGAATGCTGTTTCATGGTGCTGTCCATTTCAGTGGTGTGCAAATGAACACGAAACAGTGAACATGAGACATTCCATGCAAATAGTTTGGTTTCAAAGTGTCAAACTGTAATCACATGGAAGCTTTATCTGAGAAAAACCCCAAAATATTCCTCAACCTTTTACGATCACATTCTTTTGGGAGTGCCATTTGATCCAGTGTCCTTGACCTTCAAGGTCAACAAATCAATACCCTTAAAACTCAATGGAATATTGTTGAAATCAACAGTGCCCAACTTCGGATATTCAGGAAAATCATGACATACCAGCTTCACTTCATAAAGTCCAAAGGTCATTACACCATCAACATACAAAGGTCAAGACAGGCGGTCCATGGCCACATACACATGACTTGTTCGAAGTATTTATGATGAAACTTACAAAATATTGACAATTTGAATGGATAAACAAATTAGCTGACTTTTTAAACGATTGAAATGGTCATATTAATATTGCTTAACTTGACATAACTTGACCTTGACCTTAAAGGTCAAATACTGCAGATTCTGCTTTAGTTATTTTATAGAGAGATATGCTAAAAAAAATCCAAATATCTAAAGGAGACCAGATTAAGAACAAGGTCACTTTCCACCATAAATAACCTTGGTCTACATATATATATATCAGAGTTTTGTTCTGCAAACATGCGAGTCACTTAAATGGCCAAGACTTCTTCCAAAATAAAGTTATCGTTTCAGGTCAAGTTCATTTTTCAATACAAAGAAAGTCGCCTGATATCGCAAGATTGCAAATGGGTATCAGTTGGATAATGTTTTAGAACTGATTCATACATTCTTCTAAAATACTGGATAAAAGATCTGAAAAGACAACCTCACTAAATACCAAATTGTTTGACTGCCACATATTCTCTACAAAGATTCAGCTTCACAAGCCAGGAACTTGTAGTTATAAAGAAGTTCTTTGGTGTCAAACATCACACAGATGGATTAATGTTCATATGATTGCCAACATAAATCCGGGTCAAGCGCACAAAAGGTCATTTCCAAGAACATAATGTTGCTTTTTTAACAATTTTAGTTCTCTTGAAAATTTTCGTTTTTTGAAATTAACTTTCTTCGTGTAAAAAATCAGAGGTACAGAAGCTCACCTTTACTTAAAAATCAGAGGTACAGAAGCTCACCTTTACTTGATCTAAACTTGAATGGTACTGCATTATTTCTGGAAATATCCTTACACATAGTGCTTGACTGATACCAATTTATTAAGACATACAAACCAAACTGATTTATAGTGGTCACAAAATCTAAGAGTTAATTACTTGAAGTGCCATGAGAGAAACGTCATTTAACGAAGCCAATATTAATTGAAAATTACCTTTTCTCAAAGTGAATCAAATCAAACAGTCCATAAATAAACGGGAGCTCAGCATCAATTTGACTGAATAGCAACCACATCATAAAGAATGCTTTCAACATTTGTGAGGATTCCATGTTTGTAAACCAGCAAAATCCTTGAAGGGTTTATAGTTTGTTGTTTAACGCCGCACTCAGCAATATTCCAGCCATATGACAGCAGTCTGTAAATAATCCAGTCTGGACCAGACAATCCAGTGATTGACATCATGAGCATCGACCCACGCAATTGGGATAAGATAACATGCATTAACCAAGTCAGCGAGAAAGTAGGACATATCTGGCAAGTAAATTTGGCACAAATACTATTCAAAATCATTCACAATCCATATTTTTGATGGTCACTGTGGCAGCCATTTTGATTATTTTCAAAATTTAAATCTTACCTTTTTTAAGAGCAAGTCAATGTTAACACCTGTCTGCAATATTGCAGGCTTTTTTTGCGGCAGCCTGTAAATAATTGAGCTTGGGCCAGACAATTCAATGACAAAGCAATGACCTGCCAAGTCAGGGAGTCTGGGACCCCAAATCCTCTTGGTCAGGTCTTAGGACAAGCAGAGAGCACCGACGGTAGCGTAACAGATGTATCAAGATTTGATGCAATAGAAGTTGTTCTACACAGCATTTTACGTTACACTGTAAATTTCAGTAACTTTATCAAACTATTGGAGTTTTTTTTTATACTACTGTGTACAAATTCATTATAATATACCTAAAATTGAAACATAATTACATATTACTTTATGGTTCATTCCTTGGTGGAAAGATATGGATGACATTAATTTGAAATGCTCTAGTTTGAGGTCTTGTTATCAACATCAAGGCTAGCTTCAGGAAAAGGAAGATCTTAAAATCCATATTATTCCTGTTCTTCCAACATCAATTTCCATTCAACCATGTGACCAGACAAACTGACTGTCCCATGTTCTTCACAAACAGTACTTGTAGAGCCAAGATAACCTTGAACTGTGAAAACGTTTGATGTTTAACGCCGCAATCAGTAATATTCCCGCCATATGACCAAAAAAAAATTAAAAAATCAATAATAATTATAATAAAAAAAAAAAATCAAGCCTGTGATGAAGATGAGCATCTATCCATGCAACTGTGTAACGCCACACTCAGCAATATTCCAGCTTTATGACAGTGGTCTGTGAAATAATCAAGTCTGGGCCAGACAATCAAGTGATTGATATCATGAGCATTGATCCACGCAATTGGAATGTGATGACATGTATCAAACCAAGTGAGCGAGCCTTACCACCCAATCCTGTTAGTCGCCTTTTATGTCACACATCACTGCCTGTTTGCAGCAAGCATTGGTTGCTGAAGACCTATTCTAACCCAAACTTCATGGGTGCACTGGGATAATGGTGGAATACTTCACACAAGTTCCACATCATTTCCAACTTCAACAAGGAGTGAGTGTCATGTCAAATCCATGTCAACACTCATCAACCACGTCATGGTAGCTTGGAGGTCTAATGTCACATGGTTAGCCTGGAGAGGAAGAGCTCCCTCTTGTTGTCCAATGACTTTGTTTATTTGTTTGTTTAACACTGCACTCAGCCATATTCCAGCTACATGATAGCGGAATTTAAATAATCTGGACCAGACAATCCAGTGGTTGATATCATGAGCATCTATCTGCGCAACTGGGATACAATGACATGCATCAACCAAGTCAGCGAGCATGACCACCCCATCCCGTTAGTCGTCTAATGACAAGCAGTTGCCTTTATGGCAAGCATGGATTGCTGAATACTTATTCAACCCCTGAACTCAATGTCTAGAGCTAACTTTAAATGATTCTTGTTTTTTCAAGATTTGCAATTGAAATGTAAAATGGTTTACAATTACACGCTCTTGAAAACAATGCCTGAATAAAGACAAGTTTGGCCTTAAACAATAATATTCAAAAACAAACCTGTTTCCCCTTTTGGTGCATTCTTAACTTACAATGGTTGCATATGGCAAAAATAATTATATTAACTTGCCAACACATTTTCCTGACAAAACGATAGAAACACTTACCTCAAACAAGCGATATGACCTCCCAAGAAAACATATCAGACAACTGCTTCCAAAGGTTAACGTTGTATTTAAAATATCTGTATATAGTTTTGCATGCATATGCCATTTCCTAGCTGCTTTTGCAAAGCATCAACACACTATCAGTTGAGGTTATCTATACTTTCTCAAAGAAGAAAAAATCCTAAATTATTACTGGAGTGGAATTTGTTATTTTGAAGCCCCCTGCAAAAACCTTCTTGCCTTCATTCTTTTTACTTCTTGCTGACCAATGGTGTTATAATTAAAAAAAATGAATTCATAATCAGGGATAATTTTAAGGTGGGGTTCTGTGCTTTAAGGCTCTAAATTTGAAAAAAGGCCCATATTTTCAAATTCAATATGGCATTTTAACATTGTGCTTTACGGTGTTCCTCTTGAATATTTGAATTTTTCACATATAAGGCCCATGTCAGAAAATTCCTAGAGTGAACACGACTTAGTATTCAACAATTTTCTGTGAATCCCTTGAAACTTGGAATTAATACTAGTATATGCACAGCATTAGAAATTCATTTTTAAGCCTAGACCAAAGTACTTGTGAAAAACATTTCACTGTCTTCAAGAATTAATACCTTGTCTAGTTCTACTCATTTGTAGTGAAATAAATCTGAACTGGTAAAGAATAGCTTTCAAATGTTAGTGATTGGAGCTGTATTTATTCTAAAGTCAAATTACTCATGGACTGGCAGAGTGAATTTCAAAGCTGAATGCATACAGTACAC